CCCTCTCATCTGCTCACTGAACGCAGGACAGATGGCCAGAAAGTGGACTCCTGTGGTGATATCTGTTGGGTCGTGCTGTGGACCTTCCCCAGAAAGACAGACACTGTTCAGGATCCCGACAAGATGGCCCCATCACAGTCCTTTGAGAATTCCCTTTCCATCCCTAGCTTCCCCAAACTTAGGAAAACTCCTTATCTCCACAGGTCTCCAAGTGATGATGAAAGGAGCTGTTTTGAAGGCCTTATGATTTTTTGTACAATAAACACCCAAGTGCAAGGAAAATACCTTCGTCTTGGACACATATGATGAGAGGAAATGGAGTGCCGTAAATAGCCAGGAGACCCTTTTGTGTGAAGAGAATTTAAAATATGTTAGCATATAGATCCGTGGAGAAAGGATAGCTTATTTAGTAAGTTGAATGGAGGGAAAATTAAAAAACAAGTTATATTCTTTAACAAAATGACTTTAGGAGGATTAAAGAGCTAATTTTTAAAACTGAATCACAAAGTAGAACGCACAATGGAAAAATATGTTTTATGCACAAAAGAAACAGAACAAATGTTAGTGAGAAATTTTGATAGATCTAATACCATCAAAATAAACTTTTCAGTACCTCCAAAATCATATGAAAGAAACAAACTAGAAAGTCATAACACTATATATAAAATATTCAATAAATGTTTACTAAAAGCCTAAAATATTCTAGGAGTTTATTTAGACAGTTGAGATGTACTTGAGAGCAAATAGAAAAAAGATGTCTAAACACATAGATTTGATTTTATTGAAAGGTTTTCAGTGAGTACTGTTGCAGAATTTTGTATAATAAAATATGACAAATGTCTTGTCAGGCACTCCATCTTTGCCAATTTGATATAAATAAATGAATTGGATAAACACCCTATATCAGAAAAAGACAAAATGTTTCATTTTCTTTTTAATAATTAAAAGGGCATGTATATAATTTTATATATATACATTTTAAAGTCAGCATTGTAAATTAAATTTGAAATTAAATTATTGAATTAAAATTAAAATTAAAAGTTAAAATTAAAAAGTTCTTATTTAATTTAAAGTTTTAGTTAAAATATTTATAACTGTTATTTAAAGAGTATAAATATTTGTTTAATAAATAATTCCTTGCACACTTCTCAACTAAGAGTTAAACAATTTTATACATTTGATGCTTATCTTCTCCCTCCCGTTCAGAGAAATATCCTGAGTTTGGGGTTAAGTATTCCTATGCATTTCTTTAAACTTCTTTTACATTATAAGTTTCCTTAAAATACGCAGTTTAGTTTACCTGTTTTCAACACAAATATTACACATTTGATGCAATCTTATGCAAATTTGCTTTCCTATCCCAGAATAATTTGAGAGATATTCCTATTGATTGGTTTAGCTCAGTGCATTTCTTACTGCTATGTAATATTTCACCTTACAACCACACTACAACATATTTAAACAATCTCTTTTTAATGACTATTTATATTGTTTCTAATTATCTTGCAATTCCAAATGATTCCACTATTTAAAATTCTCTATTGTCTATGCCTAGGCAGGTCACTCTAGGAAATGTGCTGAGGGATTACACAGCTGAATTGTGGATAAGCTCGTCTTTAACCTTACAATATACTGTCACATTGGTCTGCAGCTCACACCCCCTCAATCAGTGTAAGAGTGCCTGCCTGTTGCTTCACATGCTGGCAATACTGCGTGACATTAGATGTTTATATAATTGTCCAAGGATGAGTGTGAAAGAGTTTCTCACGTTGTCATGTGATCTATTTTCCTGAGTATGTGGTTCATTAAAAACATGCTTGTTACATGTAACATGCATTTTTCTGTTAAACAGCATCTTCAAATTTTTTATCTTCTGTTATTTTCAGAGATATAAGAATATTGGCCTTGTATTCTGAAAACTTACTGAACTCTTATTATTTCTAACTTACTGTGAACATTCTTATGCACATATTCTTTCCTTAGCATTCCTTTATTTCCTTAGGTGAAATTCCTAGATGTTCAACACTGTAAAAGAGTATGTTCATTTTAAATTTTAATTCATTTATACACTGTCAAGTATGTGTTGAATTAATTAATCATCGCATTGTCAGGAAGGATAATTATGGCAATTTATTTTCACACTAATAAAGCATGAGTACTTGATTCCACAAATCCTCTCCAACCCTGCATTTTTATTAGGTAATATATCTTTGCCAATCTGATATCAATAAATAAACTAGATAGACAACCTACATCAGAAAAACTCATATTTCCTTTTTTTTTTTTTTCATTTTTGATTATTAGTCACATTGAACATATTTTTAACTTGTTTTTGCCATTTGTGTTTCTTTCCTAGTATGTGGGTTGCCTGTTCATGGCCTTTGAGTGTTCTTTTTATTGGCATATTTGCATTTTTCCTATGAAATCATAAGGACTATCTTTCTATATTCCTAGCAAATGCATTGTCATTTCCCCCAAATGATGATTTTTCTTTCTGTTTTATTTGTGGTGCTATTTGCTATGTAGATTTCTAGGTTTTAAAATGCATGTACTGATTTTTCTTTTATATTTCCTTTTCCATTTTTCACTTGGAATAATTTTCTTTATCAATGAATTAGAAACCATAAATATCTTCATCTAAATGTGCATTAAAAGTAATTTATAATACAAAATAAAGGTTTGAAAAAAGGGGGAACAAACTAAAAATTGCTAATGCACAAGATTCCTCTCTAGAAGGTACGTAGGGTCCAGGGAACAGAGTGAAATCCATGCAGTTAGAATTACTCCCCGTGGGTCTCACTGATGTTTCCTCTCATCTGCTGAGATTATAAGAGAACATAAAAGACAGATACCCTTGATGAAAACATAACCCCGGAAAGCTAATCACTTGTCAGTATATATTTCTTCCATTGAGATGACACCCAATCAATTTAAGTCTAATAGCCAAGGCTTAGCAATGAGTCCTCGTAATACTACAACCATGCTGCAGATTTATCACCAAACCCAACTCAGAGTAATTGATGTCGGGTGCTGCCCTTCCTGGAGACAGAGGCATGGGTCAGTGGCATGTCAGCCACACCATACCAGGAATTAGTGAGCTGGGCATATGAGTAGTACTTCCTGTGTAAGCCAAGGAATCAATACCCTGACCTCTCCTTCAATAACAAAGCCTTTTGGGACAACCTAAGAACAAGCGTCATCTTTGAGTAATCCAGAGGCATCTTTCCAAGGGATATGGCCCGCACTTATTGCTGCGCATGTCTTAGGGTCAATCTCATATGGAATGATCTTGAGTCAGATGGAAAAGCAATTTGCAAGCCCTCAGGTGCTATGATCTGATGAAATGACTATATGCATATCCTTGCCCTAAGTGCGGATAGGAGACAAAAAAACATTACATCCGGACAAAATAGTCAGTCTCGTTTCAGAGATGTGTCACAGAAAGCAAAACACAGGTAAGACAAGAGGTAGTCTGTTCAAAGTAGAGTTTACTGGCCAAGTCAGCCAAAGAGGATTTTTTCTCTGAAAAAGCAAAGCAGTTGGCCAGGCACAGTGGCTCACACTTTGGGAGGCTGAGGTGGGAGGATTCCTTGAGGCCAGGAGTTTAAGAACAGCCTGGCCAACATAATGAGACTCCAACTTTACAAAAAAATTAAAATGACCTGGGCATGATGGTGTGTGTCTGGAGTCCTAGCAGGAGTTTAAAGCTACAGTGAGCCCTGATTTACACTATGGCACTCCAGTCTGGGTGACAGAGCAGGACACTGTCTCAAAAAAAAAGAAAAAACAACGTGTAGAAACAGAATAAGGTCACATCACATAAGTCTTTTAATGTGAAGGGTAGGAATTTAGGCTTTATCATGAATCAGCGAAAGCCTTTGAAAAGACTTATTCAATGGTAGCATAACTACATACACTTTCATCCAAACTTGAGATCAAAAGGAAGGCTTATGATAATATACGCTGAGACAAAGGCATAATCCCAAACTGTTGCTGGCAAACTGGGATGTTTGGTCACTCAATGTCACAGGCAATTATTTCTAGAAGAGTTCTAATGAAGAAGAGCTAGAGAGAGAAACCAAGAAGATGAGAGGCAGAAAAAAACTAAGAAAATATTTGCACACACACAGAGTCACTGTAAAATATATGATGTATGTGCGTGTTTACATAAACACACATGTTTAGTCTACATATTATTTGCATACCCCAATACACATGAACAAACATACTTATATTTTGCACCTACTTGTGAACTAGCTTCGCTCTTCCGCTTATGACCTATATGTTTCTAATGCATTATATTTTTCCAGGCCATGGACAATTTTTTATGTTCCCCGTGTTGCTGACCGGAAAGAGAGGGGTTTTCCTCACCTGTTTGTTCCAGTTTAGTATACCTCCTTCTAATTCATGAGTTAGTTTTATGTTGGGAAGGTCCACCATATTGTTGTACACAAACCACACAGTCTTGGAACAGACAGGAACACCTGCCCTTCCACTTCATCTACTGAAAATAGAGGGAAAGAAAACCCTCTTCCTGCGGAGACAACACAGGGAAACCTAGGAGGGAGGAGGGAGCTGATGAGGTGCAAATGCTCCTAGAGGTGCAAATGCTCCAAGCCCTGCAGTCCTAAGAGCGGGTTCGCTCGGGCCCCCCGGGGGGTGTGTTTCCGGCCTCTTTAACCTGCTAGGGGCGGTTCCAGTCGCCAGGAAATCAGCGTTTTTCAGTATTCCGGGCTGGTGCTTTGAAAGAGAGGCGGAGGGGAGAGAGGGATTTCCCCTTTCTTGCCTCACTGGTCCATCCCCCAGGGGCCTCTAACAAGGTTGTGCCGTTGAAGTAAAGGGGCCCTTTAAGGCCCGGGCCTGCGCTTTGGGCCCTCAGCAGGGCGACCTGGAGGAGCCCGCGGGCTGCGGGAGGGGCCGGGCGGCTGTTGAGACCGCGGTGCCCGGAAAGCGTAGGTGCGGGTCCCCGGGCGCTGGAGTTTCTGAGTGAGCGCGATGCTTTTGTCAACGGCAGAAGGGCGACCTGCGGAGCCAGGAGCAGGCGGGGGCGCTGCAGGGCGGCGGCCATCTCCACGGGAAGTTAACGTTTCCGGTGAAGTCCGCCCAGCGGTTCCGAGGTGAGGACGCCAAGCCTGACCCCGGTGAGTCCGGGCCGCGTGGGTGCACGGCAGGGTCGAGCGCGTCTGGCGGGGGCCCAGCAAGTGTTGCCGCGCGAGCGGGGCGGGCGCCCGGGCCCGTTTCCTGCGCTCGATTCCTCGCCCGCCGCTGGCGCCCGCCCTCCTCTCGCGGGCGCGGGGTAAGAAACTCGCGGGGTGTCTTCCTGTGGCCTCGCAGGGGGTGCAGGGACGGAGCAGCTTCGCGGGCAGGTCCTCGTCAATCCTGTGGAGGACGCTGACCCTGCGCCCCAGCTTCGAGGCCAGAAATCGGTTCCCTCTGGGGACCTGCGGGGCGACAGCGCTCTGGCCTCTGACTTGCGAGGTTGCATCTTTACTGGCCTCCGGGATTCCGCGCCTGGCGCTGTCTCCAGGCTGGTGGCGGGCAAGTCATGTGTGCCAGGTCCAGGATGCGCTAGAGGAGCGTTTGAAGAAACTCAGCCTGGGCGCAGTGGCTCACGCCTGTAATCCCAATACTGTGGGAGGCCAAGGAAGTGTATCGCTTAAGCTGAGGAATTCCAGACCAGCCGTCACTGAATCGCCGCAGGACTAGGGGCAAGCCTCAGAGTCACCGCAGCATTTCCAGTAGGTCGGATTGTGGTGCTGCTGTTTGCGATCCAAAGACCTGCTGTGATTTCCCTGTGTCTGTCTGTTTCTGTCTGTCTGTCTGTCTTTGGGGCTTCTTAGATGATCTCATTTGGCATCCTCTCACCCAGGAGTCAAGCAGGACTTTTGGAATGGTTTCCTCGCTTTCCTGCTGTCTTTTGCTGGTAAAGCTGCTTCCGACAGGAAGTCTTTTCCTGTAGTGCCATCTTTTCTTCGGGTGACAGTGTTGTCCATCCTTTCTTTGCGGAAGGAATGACTCCCAGGGCTGGAGGAAGTTAAAGTGATCTGCTGGTAGCTTTTAATCTCTGATCTGACCTGTTATGCGTCAGTTGCTTTCTTTTTGTTTTTGAATTTTACTAGTAAAATTTCACCAGTGAACCTGAAGCCCTCTTTTTTTTGTATTCTAAAATGCTAGCTTTAAGATTTCTGAGAACTTTGTGTCAAAGAAATCTTCGAAAACTTACTGAAGTACACAGGACAAGTTCACAATTTTAAAAGCGCAGGTGGTCTGGGAGCAGTGGATCACACCTGTAATCCCAGCACTTAGGGAGGTCAAGATGGTCAGACCACTTGAGCCCAGCATTTCCAGACCAGCCTGGGCAATATGGCAAAACCCCATCTCTACTAAAAATACAGAAATTAGCTTTGTGTGGTGGTGTGTGCCTGTAGTCCTAGCTACCCGGGAGGCTGAGGTGGGAGGATCACCAGAGCCCAAGGGGTTGAGATTGCAGTGAGCTTCGATCATGCCATGGCACTCTGGCCTGGATGGCAGAGGCTGAGCATGGTGGCTCATGCCTTTAATCCCAGCATTTTGGGAGGCCGAGGCAGGTGAATCACCTGAGGTCGGAAGTTTGAGAACAGCCGGGCCAACATGGTGAAACCCTGTCTCTTAAAAAAAAAAAAAAAAAAGTACAGGTAATGAATTTTTACTAAGTGAACCACCACAGATCAATAAATAGAACATTACTAGATTGGGGTATATATGTAGGAGTGGCATTGTTGGTTTTAGAGGTATATGAAGGATAAAACTTTAGTATGAGATATTGTTGAACATTTTCCCGAAGTGGTTGTACCATTTAGCAGGGAATATTCCGGTTATCCCACATCCTTGCTGATGCTTGTCAGTTCAAAATTATTTTGCCATTCTAGTAGAGGTACAGCAATATATCAGTGTGGTTTCATTTTCCATTTTCCTCATATTGAGATTGAGTATTTTTTATTGTCAGTTATATGTCCTCTTTCATGAAGTATCTGTTCAATCTTTGTATCCTGTTTTCATTGATGTGCTTGTTTTTCTGTTGATTTGTAATACTTTATTCTGGATATGTGTCCTTTCTAGAATATATATGTATTGCATTTCTCTTTTTTCAAACTGTAGCCTGCCTTTTCACTCTTTTAATGATGTTTTTACATGAATGGAGATTCTCTAGTTGTTTTTTTTTTCTTTTTGAGACAGGATCTCACTCTGTTGTCTAGGCTGGAGTGCAGTGGCAGAATCACAGCTCAGTGCGACCTGGACCTCCCAAGGCTGAGGTGATTCTCCTGCCTGAGCCCCCAAGTAGCTGGGACCTACAGGGGAGAACCATTATTCTCAGCTCTTTTTTGTACTTTTATTAGAGATGAGATTTTGCCACATTGCATAGGCTGGTCTGGAATTCCTCAGCTTAAGTGATACACTTCCTTGGCCTCCCAGAGTATTGGGATTACAGGTGTGAGCCACTGCACCCAGGCTGAGTTTCTTAATTTTAATAAAATTATACTTGATCAATCTTTTTCTTTATAGTGACTGCTTTTTGTGTCCCGTTTAAGAAATCAATACCTAACGTAAGAATCCGAACACATCTGTGTTAGCCTTATAGCAATTTTATTTTAGTTTATGCATTTATTTTTCAGACAGGGTCTCACTCTGCTGCCCAGCCTGGAGTGTGGTGGCATGATCTCAGCTCACTGCAGCCTCTACCTCCTGGCTCAAGTGATCCTCTCACCTCAGCCTCCTGAGTAGCTGTGACTATAGACATGTGCCACCATTGTCTGGCTAATTTTTGTATTTTATGTAGAGATGACGATTCAACATGTTTCCCAGGTTAGTCTTGAACTCGGGCTCAAATAGTCTGCCTGCTTCAGCCTCCCAGAGTGCTGGGATTACAGGTGTGAGCCACCGTACCTGGTCATGATTCACTTTTTACTACATGGATGTGACTGCTTGATCCAGCACCATGTATTGAAAAGACCATCCTTGCCCTTCCGTACTATTGGGCACTTTTTTTTCATAAATTGGATGGCTATATGGTCATCTGATTTACGAAGTTAGTGTGTGTCTGTTTCTGGACCAACCTGGGCAACATAGTGAGATCCCATCTTTACAAAATAAAATAAAATAAATAAATGATTTGTAAAAGTGGGTAGAGCCGATGGAGTCATAGGTGGTAATTTATAAATGATTGTCAATTTCTTGGCTATATACAGGTGTTGGTAAGTCAGATCTGTTGGGGGTTCAGGCAAAATGCATTAAGTGAATTATATGGTGTTCAGAATGATTGCTAGACGTTCATTGTGACTTGAATTAGATGTTATTTGGGCCTCACAGAGCTACAGTTTTGACTCTTTTATTTATTTGTCTTTAAAATGTTTACAATCTTCCTGTCAAGGCAGTAACTCTTTTCTACTTAATTGTTCTTACGTGTCCTTAATTACCAGGAAAACTTTAGGGATCATACCTAAACAAGTGTTAAGCCATTTAAAGGGCTGATGGGATGTGATGTAGACAATAGTATTCTACATACTAGTTTCAGGACTACATCTGTTAAATTGTTTCTTTTCCCTTAATTTTTTTTTCTCTTGAGACAGGGTCTGGCTGTGTCGCCCGGGCTGGAGTGCAGTGGTGCAGTGGTCTGATCATGGCTCACTAGCTTTGAGCTCTCAGGCTTAAGCAGTCCTCCCACCTCAGCCTCCTTAGTAGCTGGGACTACAGGCATGCACCACCAGGCCCGGCTCTTTTTTGATTTTTGTACACAGGGTCTTCCTTCCTATGGTGCCCAGACTGGTTTCAAACTCCTGGGCTGAATGATCCTCCCACCTTGGCATCCCAAAGTGTTGGGTTACAGTTGTGAGCCATCACACCTGGCCATTTTAGTTTAATAATTTTTATATATTTCTAGTTTAAAATATTTACTAAAATCTATTATTTATGAATATGGTATTCATTATTGTTATGATTATTTTGTATGTGTTTAATTTCATTTTCAGTATATGCTCTTGGAAATTGGAAATCTTATCCCTTATTCACTACTGTATTCTCAGTACTTGACCTTGCCTGGTATGAAACAGGATATTGAATGAATATTTGTTAGATGAATGAATGAATATACTGATACCACATTCAACAATTGTCCAAGTATTACAGCTTGCACCGTCTAACAAATCAAAGAGCTTGTATAGAGCAGAGCCACAGTCAACCTGCCACAAAAGGAAATGTCAGTGAAAATCCACCTTTGTATGTGTAGCTGCTGAGATTCGGGGGCTTTTGTTACTGCAGCATGAACTAGCAAAGCTCAGTGAGACAGCGGATAGAATATCCATGTATAAATAGACCAGACAGAGCAGGAGATGAGCTCCAAAGATAGTTCAATCAGCATTAACTAACCACACCCACACTCTCCTCCTAACAGAGAGAAAGGATTCCTGTTCACTGAGATCTGCCTCAAATAGTACTTTGTGAAAAGTAAGCACTTTCTCTGGCTACTCAAGCAATCAGTCAGGACTCTTTTTCCTGCCCCCCAGGGTGGAGTGTGATGGTGCCATCATAGCTACTGTAACCTCTAACTCAAGGCTCAAGGAATCCTCCTGCCTCAGCCTCCAGAGTAGCTGAGACTACAAGTATGCGCCACCATGCTCGGCTGATTTTTAATTTTTTATTTTCAGAGACAGGGACTTACTGTGTTTCCCAGGCTGCTCAGGACTGTTGATTACATATGACAGAAACCACTCTAGTTCCTGCCCCCTTTCAATCTGCTCCTTTCTCCCTCTTCCCAGTCTCAATAAGTGGCGGTTCCATCCTTCAAGTTGCCCAAGTGCTGAATCTCAATGTTAACCTTGATTTCTGTCTATTATGTCATAGCCAATATGAAGGCAAAGCATGTCCAGACCCAGGCGAAGGTTCCTGCTGACCCAGGCTCTCACCGGCACGTTGTCCTTTACTGTCCTCCTGAGGGTGTCTGGAGCTTCAGTGCTGTGTGCTCTCGGCTGGAGCACCACCGATTCCCGCTGTCCAGGACTTGCAGTGGACTCTCTGAGACACTGATGTAGAATCTTCCCCATTCGCAGCACCAAGAGCAGCCTCACATGGTGTGGGCTGACATGAAGAGCTGCCAGATCCAACAGGTAAAAATCATGAGGTCAGAGAGTCCTCTCTCTATTATGACTCAAATGCAAAAAGAAGATGCCATGGACCCTAAACATCGCAGCATGACCAGCGTGTGCCAGCACGACCTGCAGCGCGTGATCAGGTGGAAGTTATTTGACTTCAGGAGAGGACAGTGTTCTCTTCAGGCCTTTTCCTCAGTGGCTGGATCTGCGTTCCTCTCCTCTCTCTTCCCCTCTCACCCCCAGTCTTTATCCCCATTTCTCTCTCTCTTTCCACCTTACTGTTCCCTTTCACCTGGTGTCTCCTCTTCAGCTTTCATGGTTCTCCCGTCCACCCGCATTTCCCAGGCTAAGGCCCCTGCACCATCCTGGGTGGGGAGATGTGTGTGGATTTAGGCGGTGCCCTCTAGATGTGTCCAGGATGGGGAAACGTGGCTCAGCTGCCAGTATAATGGTTCAGAGAGTGGCCACTTTTGAAGGCCTTTCACAGCTCCCATCCTAGAATCATGTAGGACTTAAAACTAATGGGCCACAGTGGAATTATTCGTTCCTCAGGACCTTGTGGTGGACACCTTCTTTCACTGAGCATTCAGAGGGTGGCTATTAGGTGCCAGGCCCTGTTCTGGGCTAGGGGCACCATAATGAGTAAATATCAGGTCACTACCTCATGGAATTCACCACTGCAGGCATCAAGAGGGGGAGAAAGAAAGTGGTGTGGCCTGTTTGTGTCCTTCTCATGTGGTCACCTGCCAGGTCCTGGGGGAGTGGGAGCCAGTGCAAGGAGAGAAGCCCAGTGAGCAAGGCAAAGGGACGATGTCAGACCCAGGGGCTGAGACCCCCACCTGCAGCCAGGCAGCTTCTGGGGTGGACAAGGAGTAGCAGGGAAGGTCATGGCCTGGTGTTCTGGGGTCCACTGTCCCATCTCATTCCTGTGGGTGCCAGAATTTGTCCAAAGGGAGGACTCAGTGTCACTGGAAACAGCAGGCCAGAGAGAGAATGTATTTCAGAAAAGGAGGAAATTGTACATCATGGTAACAGAATATGATTTTATAGTAGTGCGTGTCTCTCTAATAACTAGTTAGCATGTTCCTGTTAATGGAAAATATTGGTGGTGTAAGTTTCTCTGGATCTTCTCATCATTGTGTAAGTTCATTTGTTCCCCCCTCCCTCCCCTCTTTCCTCCCTCCCCTCCTTCCTTTCTCCCCTTCTTCCTTCTTTCCTTCTTTCCTTCCTGCCTCCCTCCCTCCCCTCCTTCCTTCCTTCTTTCCTTTCATGCCTGTTTCTTTTCTTTCTTTCCTTCCTTCCTTCCTCCCTCCCTCCCTGCCTTCCATCCTTCTCTTTTCTTTTTCTTTCTCTCTCTTTCTTTTAAACTTTTTGAATAGACCACACTGTACTGAAACCCACATTATTTACCAAAATCTCTGGAGCTGCTTCTGTCTTTCAGGCAGGGAAGTCATCCCATATCCCTCAGCCCCTCCCAGCCTCCTTCTCTTTTGATTTGTGGGTGCCCCTGGGGCAGCTGCTGAGTCTCACGTGTTTGTAGTCTTCATCAAGTTCTGCCCACCTGGATGGTTTGTCCCTGTCCTTACCAGACACTTGCATTATCTAGATCACTGAGGTTGCTTCCGCCTAACAGATCTGCTATCTGTATTCCGAGGGCACCCCAGCAATAGAGGCAAAAGGCACAGGCATCGAAATCTCCAGCTGCTCTGACTCTAAGTTGGTGCACTTCTATGCCAAGTACTAAGCACACAAGAACCGGATGCCACCAAAACCTGATTTGGGTCTGCTGCCTCCTAATTTCAAAAAACTTAATAGACATTATTTTTTAGAGTAGTTCTAGGTTTACAGATAAATTGAGTAGATAGTACAGAGAGTTCTCCTAGGGTCCCCTGACTTCCAGCACACAATTTTCCGATTAGTATGTCGAATTAGTGTGGTCCATCTGTTAGAATTGACCAACCAATATTGATACATCATTAGTAACTAAAGTTCATAGTGGACATTAGAGTTCATTCTTTGAGTTTTCACAGATTGAGTTTTGGCAATTACATAATGTCGTGAATCCCCAATACGGCATCATGCAAAATAGTTTCACTGCTGAAGATTCCCTGTGCTTCACCATTTCATGCCTCCTCTCCTCCACCCCTGACAACCACTCATCATTTCACTGTTTCTATCTTTTTGACTTTTCAAGAATGTCCTACAGTTGGAATCATAGAGTATATAGGTTTCCCGACTGGCTTCTTGCTCACGTGATGGACTTAAACTTCCTCCATGTCTTTGTGGCTTGATGGCTCATTTTAAAAAAATCACTGAATTAGATTTCATTGTATGGCTACAGCACAGTGTGTTTATTCATTCACTTGGTGAAAGACATCTTGGTTCTTCAAGTTTTGACACTGATGAATAAAATTGCTCTAAGTACTTATGTGCAGGAGTTTGAGTGAACTTCAGTTTTCCCAAGTGACTGTACAATTTGATTTTCACTAGCTATGGAGAGTTCTGGCTGCTCCTCATCTTTGACAGCATTCGGTGTGTTTCCCTGTTTGCATTTTAGCCATTCTAATAGGTTTCCAGTGATAGCTCATTGTTTTAATGTGCAATTTCCAATGGCCAATGATTTTGAGCATTTTCTATATGCTTATGCGCCATCTGCGTATTTTGTTGGTGATGTGCTCAGATCTTTCACATATTGTTATTATTTGTTTACCTTGTGTTGTTCAGTTCTCAGAATTCTTCATATATTTTGGACAGCAGCATTTTATCAGATTATTTGGTAAATATTTTCTCCCAGTCTTTGACTTGCTTTTTCCATTATCTTCACAGTGTCTTTCACAGGCAGAAGGTTTTCATTTTCCGGAGGCTCAACTTTATATTTTTCATTCGTGGATTGTGCTTTTGAGTGTTGTATCTAAGAAGTCATCCTCGAACCCAAGTTCCCAAGCTCTTCTCATTGTGTGATCTCCTGGGATTCTCATGGTTTTGCACCTTACATTTAGGTGTAAGATTCACTTTATGAAGGGCATAACATGCACACCTAGATTGATTGATTTATTGATTGATTGGTTTTGCATTTGGTTGTCTAGCTGTTCTAGCACCATTGTTTGGAAAGGCTATCCTTGCTGTTTTAAATGTCTTTAAACCTTTATGAAAGATCCGTGGACTGGATGTAGGCCAGTTTCTGGGCTCTGTGTTCTTTTCCATAGATCTTATTTCTGTGTTTTTCCTCTTTTCACCAACTTCACGCTGTTTTGGTTTTTGTAAGTTTCTAGTAAGTCCTGAAGTTGGTAGTACCAACTTGAGGGGTTTTTTTCTGAACTTCTTCATGACAACCTGAGATTGTTGTAGTCAAACTTGGTAATGTGTGAGATTCCCCCTTAGTTTGGTCTTCAAGGAGTTTTAATGCTCAAGGCAGGCCACCCTCAGCTGCTGGTAATCTGTGAATATCATTTAAGTGCTCCTCCCAGTGGCTGTCCCCAGTAGCTTCTCTTCCTGGTGAGCTGTGATTCTTCGTGGGTTAGCCTGTCTCTCTCAGTTTTCGGGTGGCAGTTTTCCCTGTGACCTCACTTCTCTGGTCCAGCCTAGAAGAGCTGACTTTCAGTTTGTTCAGCTTTTCTCTAGCTGTGAGGATAAGTGATGACTCCCTAGCTCTTTCCATGTTGGAGTGGAAACCCAGAAGTTCATTTAAAGAGTTACTTGTAATAAAATTCACCCATTGTCAGTGCACAGCTTAATCATTTAGGTTGATTTATAGAATTGTGCAGCCATGAGCAGAGTTCTATTTCAGTACATTTTTGGCTTCCCCAAATTCCCTTGAGCCTCTTTGTAGTCATTTCCTAATCCCTAGTCCCCGTGATCAGATCTGAATAGAATAAATATTTGGATAACCAACTTCATTGTATTTACATTTTCCTGTGTTTGGGACTTTATATAGTGGACTGTTGTCTTCCTTTTCTGACTAATGGAGAAGAGGTTGCATTCTAGGGATGTTTTTGGGGAAACATAACAGTACTGTTTATGGCTCTCTTTGAATTGGTGCATCTTTGCTGTACTATTAGCTCAATTTATCTGAATTATTAGCTCAATTTACCTAGAATTATTCTAAAAACCAAAGTTCATTAAATTTTATTAAAGTTAGGATGCAACAACCCCAGATCAAAATTGTGGTGGCATCCTGTTACTATGTGGTTAATACTTGACCTCGGGGCTGCCGTAGCAATGGATGCTCTTCAGGTCAGTGTGGATTAGAGGGAATAACCATGCTTGGAGAAGGGTTAGAGATGTCCGTTCTTACATTAAACCGTTCTGCCCTAGGTCAGGTGCCAGAGTAAGTGATTCTTGCCAGTATATGAGGCAGTGCTACTTACACTGTTCCTCTGCACTTTCAGTTGAGGAGGGTCTCTATGTGATGTATTTACTAGGTGTTTAATTTTTTCTACACTGTGTTAAGCACTTGGGGCTCAGATAGTAGTTTCCCCAAGGAACAGAAGCTCATGAGAGAAAGAACACAAAGACATGATTTCAAGAAAATAGAGTAGTTCTCCAAAAGTGGGGTGTGATGGCAGCCCAGAGGATGGGAGTGTAGGTGAAGACATTACTCCTAAGGACAAGGGGAACCATAAGAGGGATTCTTCAGAGCAGTCCCATTTTTCCTCCAGTGTCCCACAGAAGAAGATCCTGGGGCATGACTGGTGTAGAGCAGGGGTCGACAGGTGTAGGAGGGGCACTTGTTGCATCTTGGGAGAAATTATAGCATCCCCAGTAGGACATTTTGGAGAGGAATGTCAGTGATGGGATTGGATGTCTGTAGTCAGTTTTATTCTATCTTCAGTGAGCACTGCTGAGAACTTCCTTAGTGCCAGACCCTAAGCTGGGAATCATGAACACAGAGATGAGTAGAATATGATCTCAGCTTTCACAGAACTCTCAGTCTAGTGACTAGTGAGATATGAGAAGTGTAGTGATGGTGGCTTCATTAGAGAAAGTGGCTCATGCTGCATGGAGATGACCTCAGTGGATGGCCTGGTCCCCCTCCTCATTGTTACCAACAGCTGGATGACTTGCTCTGGGCTAGTGACCCTGGACTTCTGCCAGGTGTCAGCAACTTAGGTACAAGCAACACCTCAGTTTCCTGTTGGGCCAAAACAGTTAACACTGCCAAGGTGATCAGAGGACACTAGTGACATCAGTAGCTACTGATGAGGTCCTGGCCAGCTAGGGAAATAAAGATGTAAGTTTAACAGTGATTCTAAATTTATTCTTAACATAATGAGCAGAGATATCTGTCTTCTAAGTTAAATACTTTTTAGACTTCAAGATTCACCCACGTCCAAAATAACATATATATCAGCCATATCACTGCCCTAAGATGATATCTCTCTGTCCTTACCAGAAGCCTGCACTATCTGGAGCACTGCGTCTGTCTCAGGCTAACTGATCTGCTCTCTGGATTCCAGGGACACCCACAGAGCCAGTGGTTGAAGGCACAGGCGTTGATGTCTCCAACTGTTCTGACTCCAGCTTGGTTCACCTCAAAGCCCAGTATTACCCACACAGTAACAGGATGCCGCCACAATATTGATTTGGGGCTGTTGCATCCTAACTTTGATAAAATGTAATGGACTTTTTTTTTTTAGAATAATTCTAGGTTTACAGATAAATTGAGCCGATAGTACAGGGAATTTCCCTATTCTCTCTGGTCCCCTAGCACACAATTTCCTCTATCAGTATCGTGCGTTAGTGTGATACATGTTTACAACTGATTAATCAATATTGATACATTATAATTAACTAAACTCCATAGTTTACATTAGGGTTCACTCTTTGAATTTTACAGTTCTATGGGGCTTGACAGTTACCATGTCCAGAATCCCCAGTACAGTGTCACACAGAAGAGTTTCACTGCTGAGAACCTCCTTGTGTTCAGCCAATTCACCCTCCTTCACGCTTGGCAGTCACTGATCATTTCACTGTCTCTACCATTTTGACTTTCCTGGAATGTCCTAGTGTTGGAATCATACAGTGTGTAGAGTCTTTAGACTAGTTTCTTCCTAGCATTGTGTATTTAAAGTTCCTCCATGTCTTCTCATGGCCTGATAGCTCATTGCATTTATCACTGAATCACATTCTCTTGTACAGCTATACCACGGTTCGTTTAGCCATTCACTTAGTGAAGGATGTTTTGGTTACTTTCAGTTTTTAATAAGTATGAGTAAAACTGTTGTAAATACTTGGATGCAAGCTTTTGAGTGAACATGTTTTCAGATTACTTTGGTAAGTATCGAAAACTGCTATTTTTGGGATTATATGGTAAGGCTGTGTTTAGCTTTTTTTTTATTTAAAGAAAAAATAACGTGCCAAACTGTTTTCCAAAGTGACTAGCATTTTGCATTTCCACTAGCAGTGACTGAGAGTCCCCGTTGCTCTGCATCTTTGTCAGCCTGTGGTATTGTCACTTGTTTGGATTTGAGCCTCCTATTAGGTGTATATTATAGTGTAGTGGCATCTCATTGGTTTAATACGCAATTTCCTAGTGTCACATGATTTCGAGCATCTTTTTTATATGCTTATTTTCCATCCATGTATCTTTTCTGGTGAAGTATCCAGATCTTTTGCCCATTTCTAAATTGAGTTTTTTGCTTTTTTATTATTGAGTTTTAAGAGTCCTTTATATATTTTGGACACCAGCCTTTCATCAGATCTGTATTTTGCCAAATTTTTTCCCAGTCTGTCACTTGCTTATTCATTTTCTTAAGTGTCTTTCACAGAGCAGAAGTTTTTTAATTTTTATGAAGTTCAACTTGTCAATTTTTTCTTTCCTGGATTGTGCTTTTGGCATCGTATCTGAGAAGTCATCACCAAACCCAAAGTCGCCCAGATTTTCCCCTATGTGGTCATCCAGGAGTCTTAGAGTTTTGCACCTCACATTCAGGTGTAAGATCTGTTTTGTGGAAGGTGTAAAATCTGTGCCTAGATTTATTTATTTTTCACATGTGGATGTCTAGTCATTCTAGCATCATTTGTTGAAAAGTCTATCCTTTCCCTGTTAAATTGCCTTTGTGCCTTCCTCAAAGATCACTTGTTTGTGTAGGTCTATTCCTGAGCTCTGTATTGTTTCCTAGTGACCTGTTTGTGTTTTCTTGTTTCACCATTTCCACAGTTTGGTTACTGTAGCTTTATAATTAGTACTGAAGTTGGCAGTGTCAGTTCTCTGGGAATTTTTTTGATCTTTACTATGAGAACCTGGTTGGGCTCCTGGTGGTAACACTTAGAAAAGTGTGAGATCCCCACTAAGTCTGGTCCCCAAGGAGTTTTGAATGCTCAAGCCAGGCCACCGTCAGCTTCTAGTAATCTGTGAGTACCATTTAAATGCTCCTCTCAGTTTCTGGCTTCAGCAGCTTCTGTTCCCTGTGTTTGCCTGTCTATCTGGTTTTCAGCATGGCAATTTGCCCTGTGACCTCTCCTCCAGTCCCTCTAATAAGGATTGATAATTTTCGGTTTGTTCAGATTTCTTCTTGTTGTGAGGACGAGAGGTGACCTCCTACTTCCTTACAAGTTGGAGTAGAAACCAGGAATTTTATTTAACAAGTTACTTGTAATAAAAGTCACTAATTGCAAATGTAGAATTGAGTAATTTAAGTAGACATAGAATTTTGCAGGCATCACCTCAGTCCCCTCTTAGAATACATTTCTTCCCTCCCCAGATTCCACAGAGCCTCTTTGCAGTCATTTTCCAATCCCTGGTCACCACGATGGAGCCTGAACAAAATAAAAATTTGGAAAACAGCATTACATTTAAGCTTTTATTAGATTGGAATTTTATATAATGGATCATTGTCTTATTCTTGTAGCAACTAGAGGAGGTTTTTATTCTAAGGACTTTCTTTAGGGGACCTTAGTGGTATCCTGCTTATTGCTCTCCTTGAATTGGTTAATCTTTGCTGGGTCAGACAGTTGCTATCAAACCTTGTCTGGTGAGCATGAGTGAAAGACCTAAAAGAAAATCTTCTATTAGAAATGTAGATGATGAATTTCCAGATAATGTTATGCCGAGTTAAGTTTTTGTTTTGTTTTGTTTTGTCTTTTTGAGGTGTTTTGCTCTTGTTGCTCAGGCTGGAGTGCAATGGCACGAACTCGGCTCACTGCAATCTCTGCCTCCTGGGTTCAAGCAATTCTCCTGCCTCAGCCTCCTGAGTAGCTGGGATTACAGGCATGCACCACCACACCAAGCTAATTTTGTATTTTTAGTAGAGATGGGGTTTCTCCATGTTGGTCAGGCTGGTCTTGAACTCACAACCTCAGGTGATCTGCCTGCCTTGGCCTCCCAAAGTTTTGAAATTGCAGGCATGAGCCACCATGCTGGAGTGCTATGTGCAATCTCAGCTCACTGCAACTTCTACCTCTAGAGTTCAAGTGATTCTTGTGCCTCTGCCTTTTGAGTTGCTGGGATTACAGGCATGCACCACCATGCCCACCTAATTTTGTATTTTTAGTAGAGACAGAGTTTTTCCATGTTGGTCAGGCTGGTCTTGAGCTCCCAATCTCAGGTGATCCAACCACCTTAGCGTCCTAAAATGCTGGGATTACATGTGTGAGCCACCACACCTGGCTGGGAGTTAAGTATTTTACCGTCTTTTCTCTTTCAGAGATTGGGTTGGTAACATTGAAGAGACACTTCTCACCTGCCTGAAATGGCCTACGTTATCTTCAAGTTGCAAGGGCTCCGGAACAGCCCTTGCAGTGCTCCCATAAAGGGAAGCATCACATTTTACTGTAGTTCTTTGCTTTTTTTTCTTTTTTGTGCCTATAGGGATTAGCATACATGTATGTGAAAATATAAAAAGTGTACAGCTAGGCACCTGTAACTAGTTTTCTGTTGCTACCTATTAACACATTATAACAAGTTAGTGGTTTGAAACCACAGAAATCAGGAATGACTGGGTTCTCTGATTGGGGTCTTCGGAGGCTGAAATCCAGTTATGTGCTGCCTGTGTTTTTCATCTAGAGCTCAGGCTATCACTACAGATGTATTGGCAGAATCCATCTTCCTGTGGGTGGAGGACTGACATCCTTTTGCAGTCCTCCTCCTCCTGGCTCTCAGCCTGAAGACACTCTGACTCCAGAGGCCACCTGCATTCTTTCTCACTTTCCCCATCTTCCAACCAACAACAGCTCATGGAATTCTTCTCCAGCTCCCATCCTCTCTCTGACTTTGTCTTCTCCTACCCACTAGAGAAATCTGTGACTCTTAGGGAGGGGTGTGATTAGATCCGGCCCACTCAGGAAAGCTCAGGCTTGGTATTAGTCTGTTCTTGCAATGCTATAATGACCTGAGGCTGAGATTTATAAAGAAGAGATTTAATTAGGTCATGGTTCTGTGGGCTGGCAGGAGAGAGAGAGGGGTGGGGTGGGGTGGGGGGAAGTGCTACATAGTTTTAAAGAGCCAGATCTCATGGAAACTATCACATGACAGCACCTGGGGGATGGTGCTAAGCCCTTAGAAACCATCCCCATAATCCAGTAACCTCCTGCCAGGCCCCACTCTAACACTCGGGATTATAATTCAACATGGGATTTGGGTGGGGACACAGGACCAAACCATATCACTCTTTAAAGTCATATGACTGCCATTTAACAACGTAATCACAGGAATGTCTCAGCTTAACAGGTTCCAGAGATAAGGGTAGAGGATGTTTGGAGACCATTTTAGAAATTCCACCTATCGCAGTTCAACTTCTGGTCCCCAGACATTCACGTTCCTCACAGATGCAAAATACATTTACCCTCTCACCTGAGGTGTCCAAGTTTCATGTCATTATGCATTAGTGCAAAGTGAAAAATGTCATGTAGCTTTAATCTGATCAAAAGTTTAAAATCTCATTTAAATCATCTACACCAAGTGTGAATGAGGCTTCTGAGGGTGTCCGTTAAGTACAGATTCCTTTTATTTGAGAGTGAGTCTTGGCCTGTTACCCATGCTGGAGTGCAGTGGTGCGATCTTGGCTTACTGTGACTTCTGCCTCCTGGGTTCAAGTGATTCTCCTGACTCATCCTCTCGAGTAGCTGGGAATACAGTCATGCACCACTGCATTTAGCTAATTTTTTTGTATTAGTAGAGATGAGTTTTTGCCCTGTTGGCCAGGCTAATCTGAAACTCCTGACCTCAGGGGCTGTCCCCCTCAGCCTCTCAAGATGCTAGGATTTCAGGCAGGAGCTACCATGCCCAGCCCAAGTACAGATCCTTGATATAATTCCATTACCCGTGTTGACCCGTGAAACTGAACAGCTTATCTGTCCTCAGTGTGCAACGGTGGGACAGTCACAGAATAACACTGCTAGTGATACTTGTTCAAAAAGAGGGAAAGTGGAGGGAACAAAGTCACTGATCCAAAACCGTTTTGACATGGGGTTGAGCAAAGTCCAGCCAGAAATTCTTCATTAGGCTCCACAGCCTGGAACTAACCCTCTGTGACAGGGGGCTTTGCCTCCGGGCTCTGCATGTTTTTCTATCATTATTGAAAACATTTTATTTTCCTTCTCTCCTGCTTTTTTTGGTTCTTCCCCTTTCTCCTCATGGCAGCATCCTCCACTTAATCCTTGCTGTGTCATCCCCAGCAGAATTGGCCAGACATTGCCTGTGTCACAGTCCTGACCATCTCCACGAGGGGCTGTCCTTGTGAGCCCATGCTCCTCTTCACTCACCTGACCTCTCGCAGTCATGATTGCTTTCAGCTGCCCTGGCTGGCTTAGGAGAAAACCTAAGACTATGGAGTTTCAGAACAAATCTCTGCCCCCTCTACCTCCAAGAGAGGAAGAAATAACAGTGATCTTCATAGAGAAATGACCCACAGGAGGGCCTGGACTCTCCAGCAGTTACAGCAGAAGGAAGTTGCTGAAGAATGGAGGAGCTGAGAGCCCAGGCCGGGAAAGCAGGGTTGTGTGAAACACTATTTAATCCTATGTGCTCCCTGCCCCAATCTAGCAGCCAGTGAATGACAACTGACCAAGTATAAAGGCCAGGACTGTAGAACTGTGATAAAGGGTTTGTCCAAGGAAAGGGGCTTTTCCCGTTTTTGTTTTCACAGTGGAAATTGCTATTCTTCATCTAAAGTTTCCTGAATGGCAGCAGCGAGCTTCTGGAGGGTGAGTTACCTGCTCTGCACAGGGAGGCTGAGGCCAAGACTTGTGTGATGGATCTGCTGCCACCAAGTGGTTAGGGAGGGAGCCTGGGAGAGTCTCCGTGTTTCTGGGCTTCAGTGTTTCCTCATCAGTAAGGTAGAGGCTTATTGTACCTCTCTGAGGTCCCTTCCTGCTTTGTTTTCTCTGAGCTTCTGAGGAATAGAGATGCTTTTCGATACTGCCTGGGAGCTTCAGCTGAGACCTGACTCTGTGTGTCTCCTGCCGGAGCCTGAGCTGAGTCTACACGCTGGAATCCCAGAGCTGGGGGAACAGGTGGAAGAAAGAAAGTCAGCAGGTTTAGGGGATGAGAATAATCCACAAAGGAGAAGCCATTGGTAAATAAAAACGAAAGAAGGGGAGAATAAGGACAGAGCAGGACAGAAGCCTGAGGGGAAATGGGCAATGCCTATGATCATTTAAACCCTCAAGGAACAGCATGAGCTGAGCAGTGGGGACTCAGAGAAACTTACTTGACAGGAATCTCCTGCCTCTGGCCAGGGAAAGCCACAGGTTAGATCAGAGCTGGTTTATAATGAGGGGCAGCTTCAGCTCCAAGAAAGGGTCAGAGGTTTGTAATCAGTTTTATTCAGTCATGGATGAACACTCCTCAGACCCAGGAGCATCAGCATCAGTGCTGCTGTAGCAGTGGATGCTCTTCAGGTCAGTGTGAGTTAGAGGGAATAACCATGCGTGGAGAAGGGTTGGAGATGTCCATTCTTACATCAAACAGCTCTGCCCTAGGTCAGGTGCCAGTGTAAGTGTCCCTTGCTTGTATATGAAGCAGTGATACTAATATTCATCTGCACATTCAGTTGAGGGAAGTTTCTCATAAATATTTACTATTTAATTTCCTTTATAGTATGCTAAGCACTTGGGATTCAGGTATTTAATGTCTCTCTGAAGAAACTCAAGCCAGTGAGTGGAAGAACACAAACAGATCATTTCAACAAGATACAGTAGTTCTACCCAACAGAGGTGTTGTGGCAGCCCGGAGGACGGGAGTGTATGTCAAAGGACATTACTCCTAATGACAGGGGGAGGCATAAGAGAACATTTTCAGGACAGACTAGTCTTCCTTGAAGCTCCCACAGGAGAGGATCCTACGGCAGGGATGGTGTAGGGCAGGCACCTCTCTAGGGAAGGGATTTGCAGCATTCTGAGAAAGAGCATCCCTTACAAGACATTGGGGACAGAAGTGTAGGTAAAAGGGTTGGAGGTTTGTAATCCATTTTATTCAATTATGGATGAACACTGCTGAGAGTCCCCTCTGCGCTGGGCCTTTAGCTAAGGATCATGACCATAGAGGTGAGTAAAATAGGATCCCAGGTTTCACAGAGTTCTCAGTCTAGTGACTGGTGATTCATGAGAAGTTTAGTGATGGTGGAAGCAGTGGCCCATGCCACATGAGATGACCTCAGTGGATGTCCTGGGCCAGAGATCCTGGACTTCTGCCATATTTCAGCATCTCGACGTACAGTACACCAACACCTCAGCTCCATGTTGAGTCAAAGCAGTTAACACAGCCAAGGTATTCAGAGGACACTGATGATAACAGTAGCTATAGACTGTTTCCAGCTGAGGAAATAAATTTAATAACTTCTAAGTTTGTCCTTGCCATAGTGATAAATAACTTTATCTTGATAATGAATTATATTGTGGTAAGTTAATTATAACTTACCATAATGAGAAGTAACTTTATGAGTACAGCAGACACACAAGCCCTTGAGGACACATGCCTGAGGATTCTGATAAAGATATATGTCCAAATATGTGACAGTTGGACCTACAGGCCAACTTTGAAACAGTGGAAGACCTAGTTTCAAATTTAAGTTTGCTTTGAGTAGAAATTCACTTTACCTCTCTTTGAATGGCAATGGAACCAATCTTGTCTAAATTACTTCTTACAAGAAAAGGAATCATTCTGGTAAGAATTCAGACTTCAGCAAACATGGGGAAGTAAGGAAGTTTTATAACTTCTAGCCACCTAGCAAGAAACCAGGAATTTAGCAAGTTCATTCACATTCAGGACAGTTGTGTTCAGTAGACCAGAGGCCCTGAGACATGAAGAAGAGACCCCTTAACAAGAGAAAGTGTTTCTTCCTGTCCTAGGACATCACTGCCAACTTCAGGGAAGCAGGAACACAGCTGCCCGCTTTACAGTGTGGGCTGCTTTTGTGCCTGGAATGTGTGTGATGTCCTGAGACCTGTACCTATTTCAGGGAGCCTTGGGAGGAGCCTGAATCACTGATGGAATTGGACGGTGCATGGAGATGGTTGAGCAGCACGAGGGTAAGTGCAGGGGCGTGGCCAGGTCATACTGGGAGAACTGAGTGGCACTGATGGGGACAAAGAAATACAGACCTCTTGTATATTCCAAAGGTCCAGGGAACTTCCAGGTCTAATTCCATGAAAAATAGAGGTTATTTTCCATGCTGTTAAAGCAAGGTTGCAGACACTTGTGAATTTTGGTCCCAATATACTTGGAGGACACATCTGTGTCCTGGAAAATGATACAGGGATGAATACTCTTCCGGTGACTCATTCTGGTCATTTGTCCAGCATCACAGAAACCAGAAAATGGAAATATGGCCAAATTCATGATTTGCTAGCCCTCTTGTTCAGCTTTCTCACCTGATTCTTAGGATAATAGCATTACCTTGAGGATTCTGATGAAGATATACTGTCCAAATATGTGCACAGTTTTTAGCAAAATGCCTGGTAGAGATTGGTCAACAAATAATTAGTGAATAATTATATGAATATTTACTGAATGACATGGATCCTATGAATAATTATGGAATAATTATTGTGATTGCTTTTATTGGCACTGCTCAAAACTCATCCCTGTGTGACCTGAAGTAAGCCACATAACTTTGTGAACCTGCAGTTTCATCATTTTTATAGTGAAGAAACCTGACAGATTTTGCTTCTGCCAGAGAATGTCAGGCCTCCCAGACACCAGAACATGTATATACATAAAGCCTTTGATGTATCTCTAAGCGGTGTGCTCACAGTGTTGCTGGAGGATGATGGGGGCTGTAGAGAGGCACGCTTTGCAATGGGATCGATCCAGTCCTCCTTGCTTCACTTCCACATGAATGCTGGGCAGCCCAGGGTCACACCCATTGCACCCTCGACTCAGCAAGCCCAGGAAGCAGCCAAACATAGGAGACCTGGGCTACAGAACAGTCTCCCAAGTCCCAGGCTCACAAAACCTGGGTGGCGATGAAAGCTGAGAAAGTGAGGAGGCTCAGGGATCACTCTTCCTACTCGGTCCTGTCATCTCCATTTCACCTTCTACTGCACAGCAACACGGAGGACCCCTGACCATCACCTTGATCTTACCATGTTTGGTTAGTGGGATGCAACCACACATCAATGGCATTAGACCAACTCAGAAAAGTATGTGTCAAACAGTATTCCACAAGGACCGCTCATGGCCCTGTTGTTTTCAATATGTGGACAACATGAAATGAAAACAACAAAATCATACCAGGTTTACCAGACTTCCCAAGATAGATGGTCACATACACTTTCAGAAGATCTCCATAGAAATGATTTTGATGACTTGACACCTTGAAAAGAGCTCTTCTGGGACTAAATTGCCATTTATAAGTGACAAGAATGAGATGTAGTATTCAGTCACATTAGAAAACCAATCATTTCACATAGAGGAAGCTTTGGATATAGGGCCATGGAACTGGTCTTAAGTGTAATGAAAAGTCTCTTCTGCCCCAAATATCAGTGTAGTGATATCTGATAGTAAGAAAATATAAATCAGCATAACCATGGGATGCAGCAAGAGAAACATTGAGCCAGGAAAGAAAGCATTTTAATTCATTAAAAAAATGAATTCCTCATTCAGTCTCTAGTGGATACAGAAAAAACTGCAGAAAAGTCAGAGGATTTCATGGCAGTGTAATAGGATGATATGTTAAACTTGTGGAAAAGCCTCCAATTCTGTTTTAACATAGGAGAAGGAGGGATGACTGACTTCATGACTAGCATTAAGAAAATATCACATGTTGGGAAATTGTTTCTGCCTTGATTATTTTATACACACAAGAGATGAAAAAATGAGGCACATGCTTAGATATATTGGGAATGAGATGGGACTGTGGCATCGTCACAAGGGTACACAAAAACAGAGTGACTGATAGAGGAACGGTTCACCATTGGTTGTGAGCTCAGGTGAGACCAGGAGGCCTGTGTTTTAGCAAACCGTGGGCAGTTAGAACGAAGATTCCATGACACGCCCAGCTTATAATTCTATTATTGCAACAGCAGACCGTTACCTGGGAAACTGGCCCTATCTCCCACACTCTTGTGAGAGTCTGAGCTAGAGGCAGCATCTTCAGCTCTGAGCTCAAGCGTTTCCTACATTGTTTTGGCAGTTAAGGACCCTAAAATTGTGTGAGGAGGGATCGTTTTTCTGAACAGTAAGTTAGGAATTTGACTTATTGAAATTCCTCAGTCCTGATTAAACCTATTTGATTTCCAGTTTTTAACCCATCCTGTGTTTGGGTTTCTTCTCCCTAGTCTCTGGGTGTGCCTGGGTGCCCCAAATGTCACCATGGCGGCACCTGGCAGGGCGTGTTCCAGGCAAACCACAGAGGTGAACTTTCCTGATATTGTCGAGAATTCCTACACCCAGCAGGAAGAGACCAAACCGAGTTTCAGAGACAGCAAAAATAGACTTCTTCTGAGCCAGGTGGCCTACTTCCAGAACTACCAGCTGAAGACAGACAGTAAGTTGTATAGGTTCACCACCATGAAACTGTTGAGTGACGTCCTGTCTTGTCTCTAGAAACTAACGGTTCTCTTCATCAAAATTAATTTCATGGTTCCCATACTTGTAGAAAATAGCAATGGGTCTTTTAACATTGAGTTAAAGATGGAAGACAGAGGCGAAAGTATTTATCAACTGTTCCACGTCTGCAGTAAGATGGGTGAGAGACTGAGGTTACAATCCCACCTCTTGATTTCTGACCCAGGCACAGAACCACCTGTTTTTCTCAGCAAAAGGCTAAATCCTGTTTACAGGAATCCTCTCTGTACCGTATAAGATTCTGCAGACAAGTAGCATCCAGTCTGTTGGTCTAAATGTCTGAGGCTACTGAACTTCCATTAGGTTCCGGAGACTGCTGAGGCCCAGGAGGCAAAGGTGTGTTCTGGGGACACTGGGGGAAACACAGTGATAGCAGACAGTACCCACTGTGAGGAGTTTGAAGGGGACGCTGCTGCTAATAGATCCTGTGGTATGTGTAAGTGACATCATCAAGAGCAGGGAGTACCCTGGTACTGGTGTCTCAACCTCCCAATCAGCTGGGATTTCCGGTGGGCACCAGCATACCTGGCTTACTATTGTATTTTTAGTAGAGGTGGAGTTTCATGATGTTTGCCAGGCTGGTCTTGAACTCCTGAGATTAAGGGATCTGCCCTGCTGTGCCTCCTAAATTGCTCGGATTCCCGGCAAGAGCCACCATGGTGGTTCCACAGATTCTTTTTTCAGGAAAGGTTGTTAGAATTCATCAGTTTGTTCAGTCTCCTATATAAATTTCTCTATCCATTAACTGACCATAATATATGATGAGATAAATCAGTATTGCAGCAATGCTTCTGGAAAGTATTTAGGGCAATTTTTGGAAGATTTTGGGTGAAACGTTTTAATTTTTGCACTGGCTTAGGTCAGAGGATAAATGATTAAGATCTACCAGATGAGGGAAATTTTGTCCCATGCATTTGAAAAGCAGGCTCATCCACTTCTAGGGCAACTTAGTCTAGGGCCCATTAGAACATTACTGTCAGAATAACACATTCTTACACTGAGAGTATTTTAAGTCCTTGTGCTATGACTGGACACTGATTTAGTCTTGTGTGAAGTGCGATTTGCTTAATGTGACCTGCTCTTCTGAATTTGTTTATAGAAGATCGAAAAGATGACTATGAAGAACAGAAATACAGAGACCGCAAAAATAAACTTTTTTTGAGTCAAGTGGCCTACTACCTGGGCTGCCGGCATAAGACGGAAGGTAAGTTCCACGGGTTCACCATCACGGAAGTGCTGAACAATCTCCTGTCTTATCTCTGAGAAATTACACACTCTTGTCTTCAAAGTTAATTTAATCCTTCTAATACTACTAGGAAAATTGCAATGGTATTTTAACATTATGGTAAAGATGGAAGTCAGAGGCCAAGGCATTTAGCAACGCTTCCACATCTGCAGTAAGGTGGGTGTCGGACTAGGGTTAATAACGCAGCTAACGATTCCTGACACAGGCACAGAACCACCTGTTTTTCTCAGGAAGAGACGAAATCACGTCAGGAATTCTCTCTAAGACATAGGATCCTTCAGAACTTATAAGCAAGATAAAGGTAGAAGCGTTTATATCCTGGTTTCAGGGTGACTGAGTAGCTAAGACAAGTTGACTCTAAGGAGATCAAGAGTGGAGATAAGAGTTAAAGCAGGGAAACACCATGTGCAATAGGCAAGGCTGTCAGTGAGATCCCTCAGTCCTGATTAAACCAACGTATCGTCACCAGTTTGTAACCCATTATGTGTCTGGGTTTCTCTCCAGTCCCTGGCTTTCTGTGTTGTGCCCCAAAAGTCAACATGGTGGCATCTGGCAGGCCTCCTTTTAGAATAAACGGAGAGGTGAACGTTCCAGAAGGCATTGAGAAATCCGGCTCACAACAGGAAGAAAACAAACCAAATGTCGGAGCCAGCAAAAACAGACTTCTTCTGAGCCAGGTGGCCTACTTCCAGAACTACCGGATGAAGACAGACAGTAGGTTCTGTAGGTTGACCACCACAAAAGTGATCAATGATGTCCTGTGTTCTTTTGAGAAACTCACAGTTCTCTTCATCAAAATTAATTTCATTCTTCCCATACCTGTAGAAATTAGCAATGGGTATTTTAACATTTTGTTAAAGATGGAAGACAGAAGCCAAAGTAGTTAGCAACTTTTTCAGGTCTGCAGTAAGGTGGGTTTACAACTGGGGTCACAATCCCAGCTATCAGTTTCTGAGGCAGGCACAGAACAACCTGTTTTTCTCAGCAAGAGACCAAATCCATGTTTGAAGGAATCCTCTCTGCACAGTATAAGATCCTGCCGACAAGTAGCATCTGGTCTGTTGGTCAAAATGTCTAAGGCTACTGCACTTCCATTTGCTTCTGGTTTTCTGAGGCCCAGTAGGCAAAGCTCTGTTCTGGGGACACTGGGGGAAATGTGGTGATAGCACGCAATACCTCCTATGGAGAGCTAGAAGGGGAATTCGCTCCAATAACATCTGTGGTATGTGTATGTGGCACCATCAAGAGCAGGGAGTACCCTGGTACTGGTGCCTCAGCCTTCCAGTTAGCTGGGATCCCTGGTGGGCACCACCGCAAAAGGCTAATTTTTGTATTGTTAGTAGAGACGGGGTTTCACCATGTTGGCCAGGCTGGTCTTCAACTCCTGAAGTCATGTGATCTGCCTCCCTGGGCCTGCTAAAGTGCTGGAATTCCAGGTGTGAGACACTGGGCTGCCTCCATGGATTCTTTTTTAAGTAAAGGTTGTTAGGATTCATCCATCAGTCCAGTCTCCTATATAAATTTCTCTAACCATTCATTGACCATGATATATGATGAGATAACTCGGTATTGCAGCAATGCTTTTGGAAAGCAGTTAGGGCAATTTTTGAAGATTTGGGAAAAAAGGTTTAATTATTTGCACTGATTTAGGTAAGAGGATACATGATTTAAGATCTACCAGATGAGGGAGATTTTGTCGCATGGATCTGAAAAGCAGGCTCATATACTACTGAGGCAACCTAATCAAGGGCCTGTTAGAACATTCCTGTCAGAATATCACGTTCTTAAACTGAGAATATTTTGCATCCTTGTGCTATGACAGGACTCTGATTTGGTCTTGTGTGAAGTGCGATTTCCTTAATGTGACTTGCTCTTCTTAATTTGTTTACAGATGATCGAGAAGATCACGATGAAGAACAAAAATACAGAGACAGCAAAAACAAACTTGTTATGAGTCAAGTGGCCTACTACCTGGCCTGCCGGCTGAGGATGAAAGGTGAGTTCTGTAGGTTCACCATTAGGGAAGTCCTGGACAGTGTTCTGTCTTGTCTCTGACAACTGCTCTACTCTCTTCTTCAGTCTAATTTTATCACTCACAAACTTCTAGGAAGGTAGCAATTGGTATTTTAACATTTTCTTAAAGACGTAACACACAGGCAAAATTATTTAGCAACTTTCCACATCTGCAATAAGACAGGTGTGAGATTCGGTGAACATCCCAGATACTGATTTCCAACACAGGAACCAAAACACCTGCTTTTCTCTGCAGGAGGCTAAATTATGTTTACAGGAATCTTTTTTTTTTTTTTTTTTTTGAGACGGAGTTTCGCTCTTGTTACCCAGGCTGGAGTGCAATGGCGCAATCTCGGCTCACCGCAACCTCCGCCTCCTGGGTTCAGGCAATTCTCCTGCCTCAGCCTCCCGAGTAGCTGGGATTACAGGCACGCACCACCGTGCCCAGCTAATTTTTTTTGTATTTTTAGTAGAGACGGGGTTTCACCATGTTGACCAGGATGGTCCCGATCTGCTGACCTCGTGATCCACCCGCCTCGGCCTCCCAAAGTGCTGGGATTATAGGCTTGAGCCACCGCACCCGGCCCCGTTTACAGGAATCTTATCCATACCATATAAGATCCTTTAGAACTTAAAAACAGGATCAAGGTAGAAATGTTTATGTCCTGGCTTCAAGGTAAATGAGTACCTAAGACAAGTTGACTCTAAGGTGATCGAGAGCGCAGATGAGAAGAGTAATTCGGGGAAATAACATCTTGAAATCAATAGGCAAGGCTGTCAGTGACATTCCTCAGTCCCGATTAAACCAATTTGACGTCACCAGTTTCTAATTCACCATGTCTTGGGTTTCTTCTTTCCAGTCCCTGGCTTTCTGTATTGTTACCCAAACATCAGCAGGGTGGATTCCGGTAAACTTCCTTCGAGAAAAGACCCAGAGGTGAATGTTCCAGAAGCCATTGAGAAATCCTGCTCCCAGCGGGAAGATAACAAACCGGATGTTGGAGTCCGCCGAAATAGATGTCTTCTGAGTGAGGTGGACTACTCCCTGAACTACCGGCTGAGGGCATACGGTGAGTTCCACAGGTTCACGTCCACAAAAGTGATGAACGATGTCCTGCCCCGTCACGAGAAACTGACCGCTCTCTTCCTCAAAGTTAATCTTGTCTTTCCCATACGCCTAGAAAATACAAATGGGTGTTTTACCATTTGGTTAAAGATGGAAGACAGAGGCCAGAGTGTTTAGCAACTGTTCCACGTCTGCAGTAAGGTGGGCGTGGGACTGGGGTTACAATCCCACCTATGGATTTCTGACGCAGGCACGGAACCACCTGTTTTTCTCAGCAAGAGACTGAATCCGTGTTGACAGGAATCCTCTTTGTAGAGTACAAGATCCTGCAGAGAAGTAGCATCTAGTCTGTTGGTCCAAATCTCTGAGGCTTCTGAACTTGCATGTGGTTTTGGTTTCGGCTGAGGCCCAGCAGGCAAAGCTGTGTGTGTTGGGGACCCTGGGGGAAACACAGCGATAGCAGGCAGTACCTCCTGTGAGGAACTGAAAGGGGATCCTGCTCCTGAGAGTAGAACCTGTGGTGTGTGTAAGTGGCCCCATCAAGAGCAGGAAGTACCCTGGTACCGGTGCCTCAGCCTCCCAATTAGCTGGGATCCCCGGTGGGCACCATCACGCCTGGCTGCTGTTTGTGTTTGATGCAGAGGCGGGGTTTCTCCACGTTGGCCAGGCTGATCTCGAACTCCTGAGGTCAAGGGATCTGCCCTCCGACACCCTAAAGTGCTGGGATTCGAGGCATGAGCCACCATGCCGGCTCCACACATTATTTTTTTAAGTAGAGCTTCTTAAAAAATACATCCGTCAGTCCAGTCTCCTGTATACATTTCTCTAACCCTTCGTTGGCCGTGATACAGGATGAGCTAGATGAGTATTGCAGCAACCCTTCTGGAAAGCAGTCAGGGGAAGTTGTGAAGATTTTGGGGTAAAAGCTTTAATCGTCTGCACTGACTTAAGTCAGAGGATATGGGATCGAGATGTACAAGATGAGACAGATTTTGTCCCATGGATGTGAAAAGCAGGCTCATTTGCTTCTGAGGCAACCGAATCTAGGGCCCCGTGAGAACATTCCCATCATAGTATCGCATTCTTCCATGGAGACTATTTTACATCCTTGTGCCGTGACTGGACACTGATTTTGTCTTGTTCGAAGTGCCATTTTCTTACTGTGACCCGCTCTTCTGAATTTGTTTACAGAAGCTCGAGAAGATGACGATGAGGAATGGAGGGACGGAGACAGCAAAAAGAAACTGCTTGTGAATCGAGTGGTCTACTCCCTGGCCTGTCAGCTGACGACGGAAGGTAAGTTCTGTAGGTTCACCGTCACGGAAGTGCCGAGCAGTGTCCCGTCTTGTCTCTGAGAAACCATACACTCGCTTTGTCAAAGTGAACTTCATCCTTCCCATACTTCTAGGAAAGTAGCAAAACGGGTATTTTAACATTTTGTTAAAGACGTAACACAGAGAGGAAACGATGTAGCAACGTTTCCATGTCTGCAGTAAGACGGGTGCGAGACTAGGGTTAACATCCCAGCTGTCGATTCCTAACACGGGCACTAAACCACCCGCTTTCCTCTGCAGGAGGCTAAATCACGTTTACAGGAACCTTCTCCGTACCATATAAGATCCTTCAGGACTTATAAGCAGGACCAAGGTAGAAATGTGGATGTCCTGGCATCAAGGGCAATGAGTAGCTAAGAACAAGTTGACTTTAAGGTGATCGAGAGTGCAGATGAGGAGAGTAATTCGGGGAAATAACATCTTGAAATCAATAGGCAAGGCTGTCAGTGACATCCCTCAGTCCTGATTAAACCAATTTGACGTCACCAGTTTCTAACCCATCGTGTGTTTGGGTTTCTCCTTTCCAGTCCCTGGCTTTCCGTGTTCTACCCCGAATGTCATCACGGTGTCATCTGGCAGGGCTATTGCTGGAAAACTCCCAGGGGTGAACGTTCCAGAAGCCATTGAGAAATTCTGCTCCCAGCGGGAAGATAACAAACCGGATGTCGGAGTCCGCCGAAATAGATGTCTTCTGAGTGAGGTGGACTACTCCCTGAACTACGGGCTGAGGGCATACGGTGAGTTCCACAGGTTCACCTCCACAAAAGTGATGAATGATGTCCTGCCCCGCCTCGAGAAACTGACTGCTCTCTTCCTCAAAGTTAATCTCATCTTTCCCATACTCCTAGAAAATAGAAATGGGTGTTTTACAATTTGGTTAAAGATGGAAGACAGAGGCCAGAGTGTTTAGCAACTTTTCCACGTCTGCAGTAAGGTGGGTGTGGGACTGGGGTCACAATCCCAGGTATGGATTTCTGACGCAGGCACGGAACCACCTGTTTTTCTCAGCAAGAGGCTGAATCCATGTTGACAGGAATCCTCTCTGTACGGTACAAGATCCTGCAGAGAAGTAGCATCTAGTCTGTTGGTCCAAATGTCTGAGGCTGCTGAACTTGCATGTGGTTTCGGTTTCGGCTGAGGCCCGGCAGGCAAAGCTGTGTGTTGGGGACCCTGGGGAAACACAGCGATAGCAGAGAGGTACCTCCTGTGGGGAACTGAAACGCGATCCTGCTCCTGAGAGTAGAACCTGTGGTGTGTGTAAGTGGCCCCATCAAGAGCAGGAAGTACCCTGGTACCGGTGCCTCAGCCTCCCAATTAGCTGGGATCCCCGGTGGGCACCACCATGCCTGGCTGCTGTTTGTGTTTGATGTAGAGGCGGGGTTTCTCCACGTTGGCCAGGCTGATCTCGAACTCCTGAGGTCAAGGGATCTGCCCTCCTGACATCCTAAAGTGCTGGGATTCGAGGCATGAGCCACCATGCCGGCTCCACACATTATTTTTTTAAGTAGAGCTTGTTAAAAAATACATCCATCGGTCCAGTCTCCGGTATACATTTCTCTAACCCTTCGTTGGCCATGATACCGGATGAGCTAGATGAGTATTTCAGCAACCCTTCTGGAAAGCAGTCAGGGGAAGTTTTGAAGATTTTGGGGTAAAAGTTTTAATCGTCTGCACTGACTTAAGTCAGAGGATATGGGATCGAGATCTACAAGATGAGACAGATTTTGTCCCATGGATGTGAAAAGCAGGCTCATCTGCTTCTGAGGCAACCGAATCTAGGGCCCCGTGAGAACATTCCCATCATAGTACCGTATTCTTCCATTGAAACTATTTTACATCATCGTGCCATGACTGGACACTGATTTGGTCTTGTGCAAAGTGCCATTTGCTTACTGTGACCCGCTCCTCTGAATTTGTTTACAGACGCTCGAGAAGATGACGATGAGGAGCGGAGATACGGAGACAGCAAAAAGAAACTGCTTGTGAGTCGAGTGGTCTACTCCCTGACCTGTCAGCTGACGACGGAAGGTAAGTTCTGTAGGTTCACCGTCACGGAAGTGCCGAGCAGTGTCCCGTCTTGTCTCTGAGAAACCATACACTCGCTTTGTCAAAGTGAACCTCATCCTTCCCATACTTCTAGGAAAGTAGCGAAACGGGTATTTTAACATTTTGTTAAAGATGTAACACAGAGAGGAAACGATGTAGCAACGTTTCCAGGTCTGCAGTAAGACGGGTGCGAGACCAGGGTTAACATCCAAGCTGTCGATTCCTAACACGAGCACCAAACCACCCGATTTCCTCTGCAAGAGGCTAAATCACATTTACAGGAACCTTCTCCGTACCGTATAAGATCCTTCAGAACTTATAAGCAGGACCGAGGTAGAAATGTGGATGTCCTGGCATCAAGGGCAATGAGTACCTAAGAACAAGTTGACTTTAAGGTGATCGAGAGTGCAGATGAGGAGAGTAATTCGGGGAAATAACATCTTGAAATCAATAGGCAAGGCTGTCAGTGACATCCCTCAGTCCTGATTAAACCAATTTGACATCACCAGTTTCTAACCCATCGTGTGTTTGGGTTTCTCCTTTCCAGTCCCTGGCTTTCCGTGTTCTGCCCCGAATGTCATCACGGTGGCATCTGGCAGGGCTGCTGCCGGAAGAATCCCAGGTGTGAACGTTCCAGAAGCCATTGAGAAATCCTGCTCCCGGCGGGAAGATAAACCGGATGTCGGAGTCCGCCGAAATAGATGTCTTCTGAGTGAGGTGGACTACTCCCTGAACTACGGGCTGAGGGCATACGGTGAGTTCCACAGGTTCACCTCCACAAAAGTGATGAACGATGTCCTGCCCCGTCTCGAGAAACTGACTGCTCTCTTCCTCAAATTTAATCTCGTCTTTCCCATACTCCTAGAAAATAGAAATGGGTGTTTTACCATTTGGTTAAAGATGGAAGACAGAGGCCAGAGTGTTTAGCAACTTTTCCACGTCTGCAGTAAGGTGGGTGTGGGACTGGGGTTACAATCCCAGCTATGGATTTCTGGCGCAGGCACGGAACCACCTGTTTTTCTCAGCAAGAGGCTGAATCCATGTTGACAGGAATCCTCTCTGTAAAGTACAAGATGCTGCAGAGAAGGAGCATCTACTATGTTGGTCCAAATGTCTGAGGCTGCTAAACTTGCATGTGGTTCCAGTTTCGGCTGAGGCCCAGCAGGCAAATCTGTGTGCTGGGGACCCTGCGGAAACACAGTGATAGCAGACAGTAACTCTTCTGAGGAACTGAAAGGGGATCCTGCTCCTCAGAGTAAAACCTGTGGTGTGTGTAAGTGGCCCCATCAAGAGCAGGAAGTACCCTGGTACCGGTGCTTCAGTCTCCCAATTAGCTGGGATCCCCGGTGGGCACCACCACGCCTGGCTGCTGTTTGTGTTTGATGTAGAGGCGGGGTTTCTCCACATGGGCCAGGCTGATCTCGAACTCCTGAGGTCAAGGGATCTGCCCTTTCAGACCTCCTAAAGTGCTGAGTGAGATTCCAGGCATGAGCAACCATGCTGGCTCCACAGATTCTTTTTTGAAGTAGAGCTTATTAAAAAATACATTCGTCGGTCAAGTCTCCTGCATACATTTCTCTAACCCTTCGCTGGCCGTGATACTGGATGAGCTAGATGAGTATTGCAGCAACCCTTCTGGAAAGCAGTCAGGGGAAGGTTTGAAGATTTTGGGGTAAAAGTTTTAATCGTTAGCACTGACTTAAGTCATAGGATATGGGATCAAGATGTACAAGATGAGACAGATTTTGTCCCATGGATGTGAAAAGCAGGCTCATCTGCTTCTGAGGCAACCGAATCTAGGGCCCCGTGAGAACATTCCCATCATAGTATCGCATTCTTCCATGGAGACTATTTTACATCCTTGTGCCGTGACTGGACACTGATTTTGTCTTGTTCGAAGTGCCATTTTCTTACTGTGACCCGCTCTTCTGAATTTGTTTACAGAAGCTCGAGAAGATGACGATGAGGAACAGAGAGACGGAGACAGCAAAAAGAAACTGCTTGTGAGTCGAGTGGTCTACTCCCTGGCCTGTCAGCTGACGACGGAAGGTAAGTTCTGTAGGTTCACCGTCACGGAAGTGCCGAGCAGTGTCCCGTCTTGTCTCTGAGAAACCATACACTCTCTTTGTCAAAGTGAACTTCATCCTTCCCATACTTCTAGGAAAGTAGCAAAACGGGTATTTTAACATTTTTTTAAAGATGTAACACAGAGAGGAAATGTAGCAACGTTTCCATGTCTGCAGTAAGACGGGTGCGAGACCAGGGTTAACATCCCAGCTGTCGATTCCTAACACGGGCACTAAACCACCCGCTTTCCTCTGCAGGAGGCTAAATCACGTTTACAGGAACCTTCTCCGTACCATATAAGATCCTTCAGAACTTATAAGCAGGACCGCCGTAGAAATGTGGATGTCCTGGCATCAAGGGCAATGAGTAGCTAAGAACAAGTGTACTTTAAGGTGATCGAGAGTGCAGATGAGTGGAGTAATTTGGGGAAATAACATCTTGAAATCGATAGGCAAGGCTGTCAGTGTTATCCCTGTGTCCTGATTAAACCAATTTGACGTCACCAGTTTCTAACCCATCGTGTGTTTGGGTTTCTCCATTCCAGTCCCTGGCTTTCCGTGTTCTGCCCCGAATGTCATCACGGTGGCATCTGGCAGGGCTGATACCGGAAAACTCCCAGGGGTGAATGTTCCAGAAGCCATTGAGAAATCCTGCTCCCAGCGGGAAGATAACAAACCAGATGTCGGAGTCCGCCAAAATAGATGTCTTCTGAGTGAGGTGGACTACTCCCTGAACTACCGGCTGAGGGCATACGGTGAGTTCCACAGGTTCACCTCCACAAAAGTGATGAACCATGTCCTGCCCCGTCTCGAGAAACTGACCGCTCTCTTCCTCAAGGTTAATCTCGTCTTCCCCATACTCCTAGAAAATAGAAATGCGTGTTTTACCATTTGGTTAAAGTTGGAAGACAGAGGCCAGAGTGTTTAGCAACTTTTCCACGTCTGCAGTAAGGTGGGTGTGGGACTGGGGTTACAATCCCAGCCATGTATTTCTGACGCAGGCGCGGAACCACCTGTTTTTCTCAGCAAGAGGCTGAATCCATGTTGACAGGAATCCTCTCTGTACGGTACAAGATCCTGCAGAGAAGTAGCATCTAGTCTGTTGGTCCAAATGTCTGAGGCTGCTGAACTTGCACGTGGTTCCGGTTTCGGCCGAGGCCCAGCAGGCAAAGCTGTGTGTTGGGGACCCTGGGGGGAACACAGCGATAGCAGAGAGGTACCTCCTGTGGGGAACTGAAAGGGGATCCTGCTCCTGAGAGTAGAACCTGTGGTATGTGTAAGTGGCCCCATCAAGGGCAGGAAGTACCCTGGTACCGGTGCCTCAGCCTCCCAATTAGCTGGGATCCCTGGTGGACAGCACCGCAAAAGGCTAATTTTTGTATTGTTAGTAGAGACGGGGTTTCACCATGTTGGCCAGGCTGGTCTTCAACTCCTGAAGTCATGTGATCTGCCTCCCTGGGCCTGCTAAAGTGCTGGAGTTCCAGGTGTGAGACACTGGGCTGCCTCCATGGATTCTTTTTTTAGTAAAGGTTGTTAGGATTCATCCATCAGTCCAGTCTCCTATATAAATTTCTCTAACCATTCATTGACCATGATATATGATGAGATAACTCGGTATTGCAGCAATGCTTCTGGAAAGCAGTTAGGGCAATTTTTGAAGATTTGGGAAAAAAGGTTTAATTATTTGCACTGATTTAGGTAAGAGGATACATGATTTAAGATCTACCAGATGAGGGACACTTTGTCCCATGGATCTGAAAAGCAGGCTCATATACTACTGAAGCAACCTAATCAAGGGCCTGTTAGAACATTCCTTTCAGAATATCACGTTCTTACACTGAGAATATTTTGCATCCTAGTGCTATGACAGGACTCTGATTTGGTCTTGTGTGAAGTGCGATTTCCTTAATGTGACCTGCTCTTCTTAATTTGTTTACAGATGATCGAGAAGATCACGATGAAGAACAAAAATACAGAGACAGCAAAAACAAACTTGTTATGAGTCAAGTGGCCTACTACCTTGCCTGCCGGCTGAGGATGAAAGGTGAGTTCTGTAGGTTCACCATTACGGAAGTCCTGGACAGTGTTCTGTCTTGTCTCTGACAACTGCTCTACTCTCTTCTTCAGTTTAATTTTATCACTCACAGACTTCTAGGAAGGTAGCAATTGGTATTTTAACATTTTCTTAAAGACGTAACACACAGGCAAAATTATTTAGCAACTTTCCACATCTGCAATAAGACAGGTGTGAGATTCGGTGAACATCCCAGATACTGATTTCCAACACAGGAACCAAAACACCTGCTTTTCTCTGCAGGAGGCTAAATCATGTTTACAGGAATCTTATCCATACCATATAAGATCCTTTAGAACTTAAAAACAGGATCAAGGTAGAAATGTTTTTGTCCTGGCTTCAAGGTAAATGAGTACCTAAGACAAGTTGACTCTAAGGTGATCGAGAGCGCAGATGAGAAGAGTAATTCGGGGAAATAACATCTTGAAATCAATAGGCAAGGCTGTCAGTGACATTCCTCAGTCCCGATTAAACCAATTTGACGTCACTAGTTTCTAATTCACCTTGTCTTGGGTTTCTTCTTTCCAGTCCCTGGCTTTCTGTATTGTTACCCGAACATCAGCAGGGTGGATTCCGGTAAACTTCCTTCGAGAAAAGACCCAGAGGTGAACGTTCCAGAAACCATTGAGAAATCCTGCTCCCAGCGGGAAGATAACAAACCGGATGTCGGAGTCCACCGAAATAGATGTCTTCTTAGTGAGGTGAACTACTCCCTGAACTACCGGCTGAGGGCATATGGTGAGTTCCATAGGTTCACCTCCACAAAAGTGATGAGCGATGTCCTGCCTCATCTCGAGAAACTGACCGCTCTCTTCCTCAAAGTTAATCGCGTCTTTCCCATACTCCTAGAAAATAGAAATGTCTGTTTTACCATTTGGTTTAAGGTGGGAGACAGAGGCCAGAGTGTTTAGCAACTGTTTCACGTCTGCAGTAAGGTGGGTGTGGGACTGGGGTTGCAATCCCAGGTATGGATTTCTGACGCAGGCACGGAACCACCTGTTTTTCTGAGCAAGAGGCTCATTCCATGTTGACAGGAATCCTCTCTGTACAGTACAACTTCCTGCAGAGAAGTAGCATCTAGTCTGTTGGTCCAAATGTCTGAGGCTGCTGAACTTGCATGTGGTTTCGGTTTCAGCTGAGGCCCAGTAGGCAAAGCTGTGTGTTAGGGACCCTGGGGGAAACACAGGGATAGCAGACAGTACCTCCTGTGAGGAACTGAAAGGGGATCTTGCTCCTGAGAGTAGAACCTGTCGAATGTGTAAGTGGCCCCATCAAGAGCAGGAAGTACCCTTGTACCGGTGCCTCAGCCTCCCAATTAGCTGGTATTTCCGGTGGGCACCACCACGCCTGGCTACTGTTTGTGTTTGATGTAGAGGCAGGGTTTCTCCACGTTGGCCAGGCTGATCTCGAACTCCTGAGGTCAAGGGATCTGCCCTTTCAGACCTCCTAAAGTGCTGGGATTCCAGGCATGAGCCACCATGCTGGCTCCACAGATTCTTTTTTTAAGTAGAGCTTGTTAAAAAATACATCCGTCGGTCCAGTCTCCTGTATACATTTCTCTAACCCTTCGTTGGCCGTGATACAGGATGAGCTAGATGAGTATTGCAGCAACCCTTCTGGAAAGCAGTCATGGGAAGTTTTGAAGATTTGGGGTAAAAGTTTTAATCGTTTGCACTGACTTAAGTCAGAGGATATGGGATCGAGATCTACAAGATGAGACAGATTTTGTCCCATGGATGTGAAAAGCAGGTTCATCTGCTTCTGAGGCAACCGAATCTAGGGCCCCGTGAGAACATTCTCATCATAGTATCGCATTCTTCCATTGAGACTATTTTACATTCTTTTGCTTTGACAGGACACTGGCTTGTTCTAGTTTAAAGTGAGAATTGCTGAATGTGACCTGCTCTCCTGAATTTTATTACAGGTGATCAAGATTATAATGAAAAACGGAAATACAGAGAAAGCAAAAATAAGCATTTTACAAGTCAAGCGGCCTTCTGCCTGGGCTCTTGGCTGAAGACGAAAGGTAAGTTCTATAGTTTCACCATAATGGAAGTGCTGCACAATGTCCTGTTTTGTCTCTTACAAATGATGCACTCTCTTCTTCAAAGTTAATTTTATCCATCCCATGCTTCTAGGAAAATAGCAATGATTATTTTAACATATTGGTAAATCTGGAAGTCAGGGCCAAGGTATTTAGCAACTCTTCCATGTCTGCAGTAAGGTGGGTTTGGGACTAGGGTCAATATCACAGCTAATTTCTGACACAGGCACAGAACCACCTGTGTTTCTCAGCAAGAAACTAAATCATGTGTACAGGAATCCTTTCTAATATGTAGGATCCTGAAGAACTTATCAGCAAGATAAAGGTAGAAATGTGTATTTCCTGGTTTCAGGGTGAATGAATAGCTAAGACACGTTAACCTAAAGGAGATCAAGAGTGGAGATGAGAAGAGTCAAGGCAGGGGAACAACATGTCCAATAGGCAAGGCTGTCAGTGACATCACTCAGTCCTGATTAAACCAATTTAACGTCACAGGTTTCTAACCCATCATGTGTTTGGGTTTGTTCTTTTTAGTCCCTGGCTTTCTGTGTTCTGCCCCAAATGTCCACATGGTGGCGTCTGGCAGGCCTTCCAGAATAAACCCAGAGGTGAACGTTCCAGAAGGCACTGAGAAATTCTGCTCACAACAGGAAGAAAACAAACCAAATGCTGGAACCACCGAAAATAGACTTCTTCTGAGTCAGGTGGCCTACTTCCAGAACTACCGGCTGAAGTCAGACAGTAAGTTCTAGAGGTTGACCACCACGAAAATGATCAATGATGTCCTGTGTTGTTTTGAGAAACTCACAGTTCTCTTCATCAAAATTTATTTAATCCTTCCCATACTTGTAAAAAATAGAAATGGGTATTTTAACATTGTTGTTAAAGATGGAAGACGGAAACTGAAGTACTTAGCTACTTTTTGACGGCTGCAGTAAGATGGGTGTGGGACTGGGGTCACAATCCAGGCTATCAGTGTCTGACACAGGTACAGAACCGCCTGTTATTCTCAGCAAGAGACCGATTTCATGTTTACAGGAATCCTCTCTGTACAGTATAAGATCCTGCAGACAAGTAGCATCTAGCTTGTTGATCAAAATGTCTGAGGCTACTGAACTTTTATTTTGTTCTGGTTATTTGAGGCTTAGTAGGCAAAGCTGTGTCTTTTGGACCCTGCGGGAAATGTGGTGATAGCACACAGTTCCTCCTGTGAAGAGGTCGAAGGGGCTCTGCTTCTAATAGAACCTGTGTTATGTGTAGGTGGCACCAGCAAGAGCAGGAAGTACCCTTATAATGGTTCCTCAGCCTCCCAGTTAGCTGGGATCCCTGGTGGGCACCACCGAAAATGGCTAAGTTTTGTATTGTTAGTAGAGGTGGGGTTTCACCATGTTAGCCAGGCTGGTCTTGAACTCCTGAGGTCAAGTGATCTGCGTTCCTGGGCCTCCTAAAATGCTGGGATTCCAGGTGTGAGACACCGGGATGGCTCCATGGATTCTTCTTTAAGTAAAGGTTGTTAGAATTTGTCCATCGGTCCAGTCTTTTATATAAATTTCTCTAACCATTCATTGGCCACGATATATGAGGAGCTAGATCAGTATTGCAGCAATGCTTCTGGAAAGCAGTAAGGGCAAATTTGGAAGATTTGGGAGAAAAGTTTTAATCATTTGCACTGACTTAGGTCAGAGGATACATGATTAAGATGTACCAGATGAGGGAGATTTTGTCTTATGCATCTGAAAAGCAGGCTCATATACTACTGAGGCAACCTAATCTAGGGCCTGTTAGAACATTCCGTCACAATATCACGTTCTTACACTGAGAATATTTTACATCCTTGTGCTATGACGGGACACTGATTTGGTCTTGTGTGAAGTGCGATTTGCTTAATGTGACTTTCTCTTCTGAATTTATTTACAGAAGATCGAAAAGGTCACGACGAAGAACAGAAATACAGAGACAGGAAAAATAAACTTCTTATGAGTCAAGTTGCCTACTACCTGGGCTGCCAGCATAAGACGGAAGGTAAGTTCTATAGGTTCAGCATCACAGAAGTGATCAACAATGTTTTTTTTTTTTCTCTGAGGAATTATACACTCTCTTCTTCAAAGTTAATTTCATCCTCATACTTTTAGGAAAATAGCAATGGGTATTTTAACATTTTGTTAAAGACGTAACGCAGAGGCGAAACTATGTAGCAACTTTTGCACATCTGTAGTAAGACATATGTGAGACTAGGGTTAACATCCCAGCTACTGATTCCTAACACAGGCACCAAACCACCTGCTTTTATCTGCAAGAGGCTAAATCATGTTTATAGGAATCTTCTGCGTACCATATAAGATTTTTCAAAACTCATAAGAAGAAAGAGGTAGAAATGTTTATGTACTGGCTTCAATTTGAATGAGTACCTAAGACAACTTGACTTTACGGAGATCAAGAGTGGAGATGAGAAGAGTAATTTGGGGAAATAACATCTTCAAATCAGTAGGCAAGGCTGTCAGTGTCATCCCTCAGTCCTGATTGAACTAATTTGATGTCACCAGATTCTAACCCACCATGTGTTTGTGTTTCTTCTCCCCAGTCCCTGGCTTTCTGTTATCTGCTTCAAACATCAGCAAGGTGGCATCTGGCCGGCCTCCTTACAGAAAATACACAGAGGTGAACGTTCCAGAAGGCATTGAGAAATCCTGCTCCCAGCAAGAAAATAACAAACCGAATGTCCGAGTCAGCAAAAATAGATGTCTTCTGAGTGAGGTGAACTACTCCCTGAACTGCCGGCTGAAGACCTACAGTAAGTTCTATTGTATGGATGAGTAAGTACTGACCCATTGGTTCAGTCTCCTATATAAATTTCTCTAACCATTCCTTGACCATGATATAATGAGATAGATCAGTATTGCAGCAATTCTTCTGGAAAGTAGGGCAAGTTTTGAAGATTTTGGGAAAAAAGTTTTAATTGTTTTCACTGACTTAAGTCTTAGGATATGGGATTGATTTCTACAAGATGAGACAGATTTTGTCCCGTGGATCTGAAAAGCAGGCTCATCTGCTTCTGAGCCAACTTAATCTCGGGCCCGTTAGAACATTCCCATCATAATATCTCATTCTTCCACTGAGAATATTTTTTGTTCTTCTGCTATGACAGGACACTGATTTGGTCTTGTGTGAAGTGAGATTTGCTGAATGTGACCTGCTTTCTGAATTTGTTTACAGATGATCAAAAAGATCATGATGAAGAACAGAAATGCAGAGACAGCAAAAATAAACATCTTAGGAGTCAAGCGGCCTACTACCTGGACTGCCGGCTGAAGACGGAAGGTAAGTTCTATTCGTTCACTATCATGGAAGTGCTGAACGATATCCTGTCTTTTCTCTGAAAAACTGAACACTCTCTTCCGCAGAATTTATTTCTTTGTTTTTATACTTCTAAGCAAATGTAAATTTGTATCTTAACATATTGTTATAAGCGGATGAGAGAGGCCAAAGTATGTAGCCACTTTTCCACATCTGCAGTAAGGTGAGTGTCGGACTCTGTAAAATCTCAGCTGATTCCTGACACAAGCACAGAACCACCTGTTTTTCAGCAATAGCCTTAATCATGTTGACAGGAATCCTCTCTGTACCACATGAGATCCTGCAGACAAGTAGCATCCAGTCTGTTGGTCTAAATGTCTGAGGCTCGTGAACTGCCATTCAGTGCAGGTTTCTGCTGAGGTCCAGTAGGCAAAGCTCTGTTCTCGGGTCCTGGGGGCAATGCGGTAATAATACACAGAACCCGCTGTGGGGAGCTTAAAGAGGACTCTGCCCCTTCCATAATCTGATGAAAGGCGGTCTTTGGAACAAGAGGCAGCATCTTTCCAGGTGTAAAGGACAGGAAGGAAGCTGTGACAGGAGAGGGGTTGTTGGAGTGGAAAGATCTCTGGATTGAGAATGAAGGTTCCCAGGCTGTATCTTCAGCAGTGTCTTTAGTAACTGTCACTGAGCACTTGATTTCTCTCCTTCCTTCCTTTCTGTCTCTCCATCTGCAAAGTCAGGCAAATTTCTCTCTCCATCTGCAAAGGCAGATATCTTGCAGTGCGAACACTTAGGACCGCTTATCCAAATGAGGTAAAGCCCCTCGCTTTGTGATGTTGGGACCGCAGGTGCCCAGTACCACACCAAGTGAACTTTTTATTTTTGGTAGAGATGAGGTTTCACCATATCGGCCAGGCTAGTCTTGAACTCCTGACCTTAAATTTTTCACCTACTTTGTCCTTTCAAATCATAGGTTTTGTTTTGTTTTGTTTTGGAGGTGGAGTCTCTCAATCAGGCTGGGGTTCAGTTGCATGATCTCAGGTCACTACAAACTCTGCCTCCTGGGTTCAGACGATTCTGCTGCCTCAGCCTCTTGAGTAGCTAAGAGTGTAGGCACGTGCCACCACGCCCAGCTAATTTCTTTGTATTTTTAGTAGAGACAGGCTTTCACCGTATTAGCCAGGATGGTCCCGATCTCCTGAGCTCGTGAAGTGCTCACCTCGGCCTTTCAGAGTGCTGGGATTACAGGCCTGAGCCACTATGCCCAGCCCAGAGATTGTTTTTTGTTTGTTTTATCTTTTGTTTTGTCTGTTTTTATTCCTTCTCCCTAGAGACTGTCAAAAGTTGTCAATGCCGACTCTATTACATGTCATCTCGGCGGGGTATTGGGATTGTTTTCAATTAGCGATAATCTCATCTCAGATAAACCCCATTGGCTATGACACTGCCACTGCGCAAAGCTTACAGATTCTATTTGCAGCAAGTGTTGTTAGAATTTACATATCCATCTCGTTTCATGTATAGATGCTTCTGACCATTCAATGACCTTGCTCCCTGGTGAGATAAGTCAGTATTGCAGCAACACTCCCGGGAAAGAGTTTGACTTATTTTTGGAGATTTTCTGGGAAAAAATTTGATTTAAATTTGCATAGACTCAGGGAGAGAATATGGCATTATGGCCTACCCATACAGGGAGCTTTTGGCCTGTGCATCTGGAAAGCAGGCTCATCTCCTCACCAGGCTTCATTTGGGGCACCCTAGAATCTTCCTGTCAGAATTTGTATTCTTGCCGTGAGATCATTTCTGTGCCTGTGCTATGACTAAACACTGATTTGGTCATATGTGAAGTGTGATTTGCTTAATGTGACCTGCTTCTCTGAATTTATTTACAGGAAGTCAAGGTGATGTTGAGGAAGAGGAGGAGAAAGGGCCAGTGCCCCCCAGGTAATGCTGTGGAGCTGTGGGCTGTTAGTTCCATAGTGACACCTGGAGACTGCAGATCCAGGAAAAGGAGAAAATGATGACTAGAACTCTGCCTTCCATTCACCAGCTACAGATTGTCCTCATTGACAGTGCTGTGGGTGATGTGTGGCACTTGTATAGGTTTTAATTTCTTAGTCCTCCCAAGATAGGGACCTGCAATCTGCTGAGCCAGGTGAACTCAGCAAACAGGGATTTTTTGGTTTCCCCTGTTCTCTCCCATGGGTTTAATTCCAGGGAGAGATGTGGATATGCTTTCTACCCATTTGTTGTTAGCATGTTTGCTAGGATTTGTGAAGAGAAGAAATTAAAAAAATATACATATGCTATCAAAATACTGGAAAAGGGAGGCCCTTAGTACAGAAGATCTGGGTGTCTGAAATGCCTCAGGAGCTCTGTTCACTTGAATGCTGCATGTAAAATTCAACACAACTTACGCGAGGTAGTTGAATCCCCGTGTTAGTGCTCGTGTTGCAGTTCATGATGGTAGTTTCCAGGGAGTCTGGGTGGCCTGCAGTGGCTCATCTGTGGCAAATGCACTGAGCACCTGCTGCTCATTTGTGCTGTGTCCCCAGGGTAGTCACCCTTCACCCTGCATTTAGAAGGATAGTTTTTTTTTCTCTTGAAGGAAAAATGCCTTTGCTTTCTGTGACCACTCCATTGTGACTTCCATCAGATCAGCTGGGGGACTTAGTTGTCTAATCTCTGTTGTTTTTAATCTGTCGTCCTGTCCTGCCTGGCTCAGGAATCTGCAGGAGTCTGTAGAGGAGGAAGCCCCCCAGGAGTCCTGGGATGAAGGTGATTCGACTCTCTCAGTTCCTCCTGGCCCATCTGCCTTCAATGAGACTTTGAGGAGCAACTTGCACTCATTAGAGGAGCAGCAAGTCATCTCGGCTGTTGACATAGACAGTGAGTGACTCCATTGTGAAGGGCGCTAAAGCTCCATTTCGTGTCCCGGATAGACCCCATAGTCTTTGGGCATTGCTCCCCTGGCCGGGCTGAGAGTTGTCATCACTGTGGGCTGAGCCTGTACATGAGTGTAGATTTCAATCACTCTGGATTCCAGTCTGAAGCACCGGCATGGGGTGGGACAGTGAGCTTTGCCCTGTCTCTAGTCTCAGGCCATGCCCGTCGCACCCTGGACCGACTGTCAGGACATTGAAACTTAAGGCAGGTGTTGCACACTCACGCCAAGCTCTGCAGCACATGCCCACAAGTTGTCTGTCAATCTGAATTAAATGTCTCTTGCCAGCTACCAAGTTCCTCATGAGTTTTGTTCCCCAAGCATGTCTGTGAGGTTCTTCCCTGTTTGTACAAACTTGGTGTAACTGTCTGTAGAAACTTGGGATAAAAGGATAATGGTCTACCAGAATAGGGACATTTCATCATTGGTCTGAGATAGGAACCAAGAAATCTCTCTCATGATTGGCCTTCAGACCTCCTGAAGTCTGTCTCTCACATTATCCTGCTCTCATGTTGAGGAGCCTGAGGTCCCTGTGCAGGGATTAGACAGTGGACGGTTATGGGTGTAGGAGAATTGGCTTATTTTGTCTGTCCCTGTCTGAATTTATTGCAGAGATTAAAAATGACCAAGAAGAAGAAGAAGACCAAGGCCCACCATGCCCCAGGTAACTTTGAGCAATTGTCAACAGCTAATTTTGTGTTGACACCTGGAGACACCAGGTCCAGGGAAAAGAGTGGGCTGACAATATCGATACCATGTTTTCAATGAAGCCTGAATGATTTCTACTAACATTGCTGTTGGTTTTCATTGCGGTAGATACTTAGGTTTCCATTTCTCCCTCCCCTTATCATTTACTAACTTCCGTAGGTTGACGATACTTGTTTTTATGATCAGTGTACGTTGCGTGTCCTGAGGGTACTCACTCAGAGTGTCCTTTTACTCCCTCATCAGTGTGTCACCTGGACGGATCACTTAGCTTACTTTCCCTCTCTCTTTGATTCTTTTTTACCCTACTCCTGCCCATCCCGACATAAAGCAATAATTTGTTATGTCATTAATGGATCTATGTTTTTTCTTTATTAACCACTTTCTTGTGCTCCCCATGAAATCTAGTTGGGGCTCTGCGGTGTCTTATTTTCCCTGACTTATTCTTTGGTTTTTCCTCCTTTTCTAGGCTCAGCATGGAGCTGGTGGAAGCAGAAGAACCTGAAGTCTTCCGGTACTCACTGGATGTATTGTATTCAACTTATGCAGCTTATCCTGAGTTTTATTTCACATGCCAGGCTTACACATATGTTATTTTTTTATTTGTGGAAGAGCGTGTTCGCTTGACTTTGGACATGGACAGTAGGTTTCTTACTACGACGGTGACAAGACTCCTCCCCCTGGTCTCCCGGGTAGGGGTCATATTTCCACACTAAGACAGCATGTCACGTGGGACTCTGCCGGTGCAGAGTATGAACACCACCATGTTCTTGCTGAAACACTTAGCCTGAGTTTCATAGCCTGAGGTAATCTCCAGACAACTTCAGAATGTAGAGCAGTGAGCAGCACGAGTGACCTTTCTCCTTCAGAAAGCCCATGTCACCACAAATCACACAACCAAAAGGAGAAGAGACATTTTGGGTTGAAAAAGAGTAAAAAGATAATGTAGCTACATTTCTTTAGTTCTTTTGAACCCAAAGTGTCTCCTCACCTTTTGTTGTTGTCATTGATGGTGGTGACATGGGCTTGTTTGTAGAGGACAGGTCAGCTGTCTGACTCAAAGCTCTACCCTCTGAAGTTGTCTGAAAATGTCCTCATGATTAAATTCAGCCTAAGTGTTTTTCTGGGAACACTGCAGGGTCAATGCTACCTCACCCATCTGCAGGCAGAGAAGGTCCTGTGTGTCTCCCACCGTGATTGTGATACCAGGACTGTTCCACCATTTGTCTACCATCATGATCCTGATACCAGGACTCTTCCACCATTTGTCTACCGCCATGATTGTGGTACCAGGACTGTTCCACCATTTGTCTACCATTATGATTATCATACCAGGACTCTTCCTCCATTTGTCTATCACCATGATCGTGATACCAAAACTCTTCCACCATTTGTCTAAGATTATGATCCTGATACCAGGACTGTTAAACCATTTGTCTGCTTCCATGATCGTGACACCAGGACTGTTCCATGATTTGTTTACCACCATGTTTGTGGTACCAGGACTGTTCCACTATTTGTCTACCACCATGATTGTGATACCAGGACTGTTGCACCATCTGTCTACCACCATGATTGGGGTACCAAGACTGTGTTACCTTTTATCTACCATTATGATTGTCATACCAGGACTCTTCCACCATTTGTCTATCACCATGATCGTGATACCAAAACTCTTCCACCGTTTGTCTACCATCATGATCGTGATACCAGGACCGTTTCATTATTTGTCTATCACCATTATTGTGATGCCAGATCTGTACCTTTCAGAGACAGCTTATTTATACCGAAGTAATTGGAAAAATGGTTTTTAAAAGTATTAATATGCTGTATTCAAATGACCATCCCTAAACATTTTATTCATTAATCATCCCTGGCGTTGTCAATTATTATATTTATATCTCTCTACTGGAAATTTTTAATTTTTCCTGTATCTTTGCTTTTTCTAGTTGTCTGTTGTTGGAAAAAAAATTTCCTGCCTGCATTTTAATTTTTGCCAAAGTTAATTTTAATCTATACTATTAAAATGTTTTCTCTTAAGACTGTCAGCACATAAGGCCACAGCAAAACAGAGAATTCACTGATTTTGAAGCCTTTTTTGATTTGTTGCTGACAAGGGACATAGTTTTCTTAGCTGCTAATAACTATTTGAGCAGCCAGGAAAGGTCTATCAGACTAAGGACATGAAAAGCCCAGGCCATTCTCTTTGAGTCTTTTAAACTATTTCAAAAGAGAAGAGAATAGGTAGATTCCACATATGTGGACAGGAAGGAGAATACACTAAAAGCAACAGACAACTATTTCCCAAAACAGAATAGAAAACTAGATTTAAATAAACATACACCATTAAAATTTATTAAACATTTTCTCATGTCTCTAAACTTACCTGTTATATGAAAGTCAGTTCTTAATATTCCACACTGCATTGACTGTTGACATTCATAAGAACATATTTCCAAGTTTATTATTTGAAAATGCAAATGGACTGTAATTTTTTTTTGCAGTAATCTTTTTAAGATTGAAGATTTTATTCAAAATAAAACCAGAGATTTTAAAGATTGAAAATGACATTAAAATGTATCTTCTCAAAATAATGATGTTTAACTCTGTGTATCTTACTTCTGTTTATAGTGTAACTGTCAAGTGATCATTTAACCATTCTTTAAATATTTCAAATTACTGGGGACATGTACATACACATAATAAAGCAATGCCTACTCGGTGAGGGGCTGCCTTGTGAGCAACCCCAAGGGCCCTGGCTCATGAAGCCCTTGGCTAGAAAGGTGGAGGGATCAGCCAGGTGGGCACACAGCAGGTTTCTTGTTTGCTTCTGGCAAACACACAAATATCAGCACCTGCTCACTGGAGTCTCTGGCAACCCTGACCAGGCTTCATGATGGGTGAGGTGGGCTAGAAATGGGAAAGTGGATGACCCCAGACCTAGAGACTGCCGCTGTCACCTGGGCACCTGGAATGTGCGTGGAGGAGTCTCCCACAGATTTGGGCCTGGATCAATGCCCAAACATGCACAAGGACAGGACTCTTGGCCTGGATGTTTGCAGAGCTCCCAGTCTTCTAAAGAGGCTGGTGGTGGGGAGGAAGTTTCAACAAAACAGCAGAGTTATGGGTACTCGAGCTTGGAACAGAGAATACCTCCCTGTACTACTAAATGACAGTATCTGACGATGATGAATGACACTTGAGCAGCAGCTTTCACTGTTTCACAAGCAGTGTCTCTGGACCACTAGGTTGGTGCTGTCAGATGTTGACTGAAACAGTGGTTAGAGCCCATCCAGTCACATTAATGTTTCTAGCTGACATGACCTTCCATCTGAAGAGTCTCTTCCTTGGACCAAATATATCTTAAAACTTCTCTTCAGGCCGGGTGCTGTGGCTCACGCCTGCAATCCTAGCACTTTGGGAGGCTGAGGTGGGTGGATCACCTGAGGTCAGGAGTTTGAGACCAGCCTGGCCATCATGGTTAAACCCCATCTTATATAAACACACACACAGACACACACACACTTCTTGTCTCTTGTCTATTTTCCAACGTGTCTCTGTTGCTTGGGGCAAAAAAACTCCATTTTTAATCTCCCCCCAACAAACATCTTCCCTTATCTTGGTGTTTCGGGTTTTGAGTTTGTTTCCTCAGCTGCTCATATTTGGAACACTGGAAATTTCTAAAATGGAGAATGACAGAACCTGAGTCACACCTCTGGTGAGGCCACAGACTTTGGGGGAGAAATCTAATCTGCCAGGGTCTGAAGTTAAACACATGAATTTTTTGTGCCTCCATTTCTATGTCAAATGCACTAAACCAGAATACTCAGGTTGCCCAATATTTAAATGAGCTGTGCAGAAAAAGCGTGGAGCCCAATGCCTCTCACATAGTAATTGTTCAATACACATGAGCTCCTATCAGTGCCATTGCCGCCAGCATTTCCATCAGGCTTTGATCTTTTAAACATCCTTCTTGATACAAGTGGATCATTCTTCAAACCTTCTCTAACTGATGGCCGTGAAATTGCTCCGGTGTGTATTATTACAAACACAGCTGCAGGGATCAGACTGACACATACATGTGTCGTGCATCCCCTGTCTACTTCTGCGCAGATACCTGGAAATGGAATGGCCAGATCAAGGTATTTATACATTTCGATTTTGCTAATTTCTGCCCAAATTACTGTGGAAAGACGATATAACAAGTCACATTGTTAACATTTTGTGAGAATACTTTCTATCTCCTTCTTCTGGCCAAAACTGGGTAGTATTGCCTACCATTTCCTCTGAGCTTCCTTTGCCAACATTTCTGTAGTCATTCGGTGGGGACACGTGTTATGCATGACATCAAACTCAAATCCTTAAAGGAAAAGAGGGATTAACATGACTGTACAAATTTATATTCAAAATACGATGAATAGAAATATATATGTGGATGTAAATGTATACACAAAATATATGGCAAAATGTTTTTTATTTAGGATACTTCATCAAAGTTACGTATACTTCAAAATTTGTTTAGTAAAACAGCAGGCCCCATGTGTACATAATTATTCAGCTCCTTATCTCTAAATAGCTATTATTAGTCTTTGCTTTCTGAGGTTAGGCCCTATCTCTCCTTCAAATACTTACTCAACACCACCACCCCCAAACATGCCTCTCAACACCTCACCCTCTAACATGTTTGTGTCCTGATTTGCTGAGTCAATTACTACATTATTATAACTTGTACATTTTATTCAGAGCTCAGTCACATTGGATATACACAGCAGGAATAAAGGACCAGTATCTTCCGGGTCTCTCTCTCAAGTGGATGAGCTTCAGAGATTCATGTAGTCTTTGGCCACCCTGCCTGTCATCTATTCCAGGTAAGTACTGGATATGATGGCCCAGCTCAGATCAGGCACTCTCTCCATGAGCAGGGGAGGGCGGGACATCTTCATGTGCAGTAGCAGAAAGACACTGTCCAAAGAGTGAGAGGCAGTTCTACAAAAGAAAGGTCAGTCTGGGGCATGGGCAGGCAAACCGAGGATGTGAAGAAAACAGTATCTGCTCTGTGAGGGGAACATGCAGTAGAGGATGGATTCAGAGTGGGAGGAAGAGAGGTTTTGGAAATATGGGCCATGGATATTCCTGTGTGAGCTGGAGCCACACGAGACTGTTAGGTACTTACAGGGAGCTTTGGAGAATCTGCACTCCTTAACCTGGGAGACAGGTGAGGGGACTGTCCTGGTCACCAGACAGAGATAGGGTCTGGTCCAAGCAGTTCTGATGGGAAAGAAATGACAGGACATCTTCTCCTTAAGGTAAGGTCCTGAGTTCAGGTCTTGGTAGGAAGGGAGGCTGCCTTGGGCATTGGCAGCTGCAGATAGTTGGCCAGATGAGGGCACTGAAATCTAGGTGCTATCACCTTGTGATTCTAGTAAAAGAATCGCTGTATGAAGGGTCCTTAGGAAGAGGAGGTGGATGGCCTGACTTGGGGTGGGGCTCCAAGAAGAGTGTCTGCGGTGCTGTACAGAAGCCTGCTGCACAACCTCCCTGGTTCTCTTTCTCAGTCTCCTGTCCAGATTCCCAGAGTCCCTGCCCTGTGTGCCCTGGAAGCTCAGTCAGATGAGCCAAAGCATCTCCAGCTGGGACTCATCCCTGGGCATTTTTGTGGCTTTGGGCACCCTGGGCTTCTCCAGGCCTTGTCCTGCAAGCAACTGTCTTGCAGGGGGAGTCAGGAGAAGGAGGCTACTTGTCACTTAACTGTGGGGGACCACAAGGTCCTGACTTGGGTCCTAGTCACTTGCAAACCTATTCATCCCCATCCTATCCCCCAAATGATGAAAAGAAACTTTGCCAGGAGTCACACCAGACAAATAGGATGGGGCCTTTCTATAGAGTCTAGTTCTTAGGCCACCAATAAGAGATGGAAACCACCTGCAGGAAGGTGCCACGGTGGGAACCTGGGTGGCAGGTAGCAGTCACTCAACTGTCAGGGTGAATCCTGGTCCTCACACACCCTTTCTCCTCCCCCGCTCATTGTCTTTTTTCTCCTGTCTGCTCTTTCCCCTCCTTTCCCAAACTCAAAACACTTGGTAAGCTTGGACAATTTCAGAACTGGAGAGATTTGGCCACGACATTTGTCAGGCTAGGAAGGTCCTCCAGAACTATTGCCTAATTTTTTGTGTTGATTAGAAGAGAACAAAAGAGTTTCCATCTGATCTGGTCCTAAGTCTCCTTGAGTCTGGGCAGGAAGCAGAGCAGAGTCTGGGCAGGAAGGAGGAGGATGCCCAGGGTCCTGGACTTGCCCCTCCCATCTGCTCAGCTCCTCGCCTATTCACTGTGAGAGAGCTGGCCTGGAATGGGGAACCCATGGTCTCCACAGAGGCTTGGATCCCAGGCTCAAATCTAAATACTGGCTGATACAGGAGGCTAAGGAAGGCAATTCCCTGGAGAGAGGTGTCAGGATTTGGGACAAAAGCAGCATCTAGTCGCTGTCCACAGAGACCTCAAGGACAGGAATCCACTGGTTCCCAATTGGAGGGGATCCCATGAAAATGAAATGAAACCTGCACATTAGTACTAGACTGAAGACAGGAGATTAAAAACTGCAGCATCTGAAGGGATGAAGGAATTAGGAAATCTGGAAGTGAAGTTTCTTATATAGGTTGTTTCTTCCAAAGAGACACAGGGCAACAGTTCAATGACATGAGTAAAAGGAATCTCAGGGCTTGGGATTGAGGGGTGGCAGCCTCTTTAGCAGAGGAGACCTCTCACCTGAAGGCCCAGGGTTGCCCTGAGAGGGGAAGGGTCTTCAGTAGCACGTGGCTGGCAGCCTGGAGAGTCTGTGAAATTGCAGCAATTTTCCTGTGGCCCAGGCCACTGTAAGAACCCAGTTTGTGTGACCCTCAACACCAAGGAGGGTATTGGAGACCTGCGGCGCTGAGCCTCTGAATTTCAGTGGAATCCACATTCCATTTAGGGAGCAATAGAGAGCAACATCATCGTAATTATACAGAAAGGCCCCCTGAGACTTAGAAGTCTGATTGCTGTGTTCAGAGTCCAAAGAGCTCACCATTACACCATGGAGGCTCACATTAGTGCGGAACCTCACACTAGCTCATTACTGGAGGTCACATTTAGCAGCCATAGTTCCCACACACCTATATTAGAGCGTTTCTTCTGATCCCTCAAGCAACACTCAAGGAAGGTGGACCTGCGAGGGAGGAGTCGTCCCTCTTCTTTGTCTCTGCCCTCTCCTTGGATCAACTTTTATCATTTCATTTGCACATCAGAAAATGAGGCAAAATCCACTCTATTCTTAGGGCCAGAGAAGAGCCATTGAGGCCTCCCTCACGGCACACACACTCTCTCAGTTTACCCGAGTTTCCTGTACCGAGAGGACATTTCTGCAAACAGCTAGGACTTGTCAAATGAATGCGTCGTCGCCTTTTGCTTTTAGTCCTTTGAAGAACCCTGAAAATAGAAATCAGTAACTGTTTTCCCATCAGGAAGTTTTTTTTTTTTTTTTTTTTTTTAACAGTTTAGCCCACATCTGTTTAATCTTCCAGTTTAGCATATTTAAAAAATTAGTCTGTACTCAAATGCA